CTAGTAGTCTCGTTATAACGATTGAAACCTCGTTAAAGCGAACACATTTTGCCAGTCCCTTGGGCCTTCGTTATGTATCGAGGTTCTAATGTACTTTATTGCTGAAGTACTAGTTTATCCTCATATTATGTTTCAGAATTAAAGTGGTTGTGACAGGACCTAGTGAAAGCCGCCATAAGGAAACAGTACTAGCTGATGTACACCCCACGCCATTAAATCTCGATAACAAACAGGTATCACGTTTTACTGAAGAATTGTAACCGCTTTAATGGTTCAGGACATTATCCAAAGAGTGTACCGGACTCAAGAGTTTGTTCCCAGCGTCTTGAAAGCCCTCCTTAACGTTCAAAATAGTAGACAAAACTATTAGTAACCGAAGGTTAGGGAGTGTGGGTGAGATCGATCGAAACACAAAACGCTTTTGCAGAGGTTTCACTTGATAGAAGGTCCAAACGTGCGTAATCAGATTTCATTCTGTATTCCATTCATTGTTAGTGGAAGTCTAAACGAGAGATGGCTACAAACGTACCGCGCATGCGTAATAACAACCTGAAGATTAAGACAGCGGGCGACCTGAGGAGCCGGCAATGAATTATCTCTTTGACTGACAGGACTTTTAAATAAGCGTTATCTTTCCTTCTATTTTATCTGTGGACAGTTTCAAGATGATGTGCTTGAGGAAAGAGAAGCTCACTTCTTATCAATTGAAAAGGTAAATATAGAAGTGGAGGAGGCTTCCGGTGATTTTCTTCAAATTCTTCTTTTCTTATCTCGGGTTCTCTAGCTGTAGTCACTGTCTTACATTACTGAAATCGCAGTGAGTTTTCTACCTTGTCGTTTCTTTTTACTATTAACCTTCTCTAAGATGGACACCTTTGGGACCGGCACTAAACAGTAGGGGATCCAGCGGAGGGGCCCGGGGTCCCAGCGCCTCCCCCCCTTATTTTTAGACCAAACTGAGGCCCGGAGGGCCGAAAAATTTTTTTTGAGTCCGCCCCCCCTCTTATCTCAGGGTCTGGATGACTATAGCTTATAAAAGGAAGTAAAGAAAGGCAGAGACCAACTGTAGGTGTGTCCGTTTTACCGAGGTGTCCGTCCTATAGAGGTATCTGTTAAGAGAGAGTCGACTGTATACCTTTTTTTTCCTTTTAATAATTCTACAGCTTTCAGACTTAGGAATGGAAATTGAAGAGCGTGATGGCGGAATATTCGTAAAAGAAGTTCAGGAACATGGCTGTGTGGCTGTCCATGGTAAGTTGGCGCACCTTTGGTGTATGGTGGTTGATGCATGTTATACTTGTTAAAAGGGGCAATCATGACTTAGAAAACTCATTATGTATAAAAAAACTCATTGTGTATCCCAGCGAAGAACTGCGGAAGAGACAAACCTCATTCGGGTGAGGACCAATTCCGCCAGCCACGCAAGCTAAAACCCTATTTGTGAAATGCTTTACTCAATTTGCAATATCTACCGATTTAAGCGAATTTGGCTCTAATAGTCTCTATTTCTTGTTCATGTTAGGCGGTGTCGAGCCAGGAGACCAGTTGCTTAATGTTGAGGGAATCAGTCTACTGGGAATCAATGTACAGCAGGCGCATGAGGAACTTAACAGAGCCATGAGCAGGAGCTCGGTAGGATGCGTTTTGCCGATTGCTTTAGACACATCTTCGTTTGTACCCTGTGTGGTTATATATTGTGGCAAAGAAAAATATGAACTGGAAGAGTAGCAATTCTTGTTATCGCCATACCATCAAAAGCTACGGAAAATCTTCGATATTCCTTTTGCTATAGACCATAGTCCTTGGCTCCGAGGTTTGGGGGAATAAAACAAAAGAAATCATCTTGAGGCTCAACAATGAATAATACATTTCTTTTTTCTTATTCCCCCAAGTCTCGGAGTCAAGTATGAATTGTAATATATGGAAAATGCACAAGTGATAATTTATGTTCTCGTTTCGCCCAGGTTGCCGGTCGAGCAGCATTTTTTATTTTCACGGCTTTTTTTTTTCATCAGGAAAATCTTGATTTGGTTGTTGCTAAGGGAAGTGGCAAGCGGCGCACAGTTCTAAGAAGTGGGAGTGTAGTCAGAAAAAGAGATCCAGTCACAGGGGGAGAGGTGTAAGTAGTTTATTTGCTCAGATGGGGAGTGTGCCGTAGTAAAATTCTTAACATGACGGGATATTTGTTTTATGTGTTGGCATGTTCTCTCACGTAGTATGGTTGCTGTCAAAAGGGGGTTAGCTATAGGTAAGAGATTTATTAAGTATTTGTCGCTTTGGAAAATGACGCTATAATTTCATTTAATGGCACCCTAAGAACGCCAATATATCAAGAGTTTCTTGAAAGACTTGTTCGTTGAGCGATTTCAAGCGAAAGAGAAAGAAACAGAATTTCGAAAAACGGTGAAAGGATATCACGAAAGATTATTCCTGGCTATACAATTCAAGCACACAAGCACACAGGGTTTGCACGTGGAAGAAGAAGAGATTAAAGTGGTGATCCGAGGCTTGCCTAGTCTCCTTTGGTAGAATAATTCTACCAAATCTCGGGATGCTTCAAAAACAACACTAGTTTTCACGAAGCTAAGTGTGACGGGCGACAGGCCCGTGTAAACTCTATTTAACGGTCCTGGATAAGTTCAAGGAGTCTAAATATAACGCAATTTTGATTTTTTTTTTCGTCTTTTTTTTGTAGATATGACACTTGGCTATGATACATTTTCGACAAACGAAGAACACAAGTGGAATGGAAAAAAAATCAGAATAACATTTTAAAAAAATTATTTCTATCGACATATAGTCTCTCTTACCGAACTCGACTCGCGTCCTATCGCTTAAACATTTCGATATATTTAGTTTTTATTATCTCTCCACTTTAAAATAGCTTGAAAATACTTTTTAAAAAATGTTTCCAAACCACCCTTTGCAAGCTTAATACCTCCACGTTGCCTCCTTGTATCAGTCGATTTTACTTTCGTCTTTGAGGGGAGGGAATTCGTAACTTTTTATTGGTCTTTTTTGAATGTTTGTTTTTGTTGGTGACGTGTATGCTGTCTTTAGTGCCGGCTGTTAAGAGATGGAAGAAGTGTCTAAAAATTGTGATAATTTTGGTGTAGGCTGCGCTGAATCTGTGTATTGTTTATTCGGTGCTGAGCAATGACTGAATCGTATCGCGTTTATACGGAAGACCTTTTCGTAACCCTACCCTTCGCCGTTCCCTTCCATTACCCTTTTTGCCCCACATACCCTCCCTTCGCCCTTTGTGAGACACTTTGACAAAAAAAAGGGCAGATTTTTTTTCTTTTCGTTAAGTCGATTTTCTTTTCCAGTCACGCCTACGGGTTAAAATAAAGGTTAAGGAAATACGCTACCTACTATTTGATCGTTACGCATGAAAAAAGGAATAGTAGAATATTACATTTTTAGTTATTTAATTGCTGTCTGGTCTTAATTTAGGGAATTATTACTTTATTATGAAGTGTGTTTGTAAAATATGAGTTATTTATTTAAGGCTGTATTGTAGTTATTTATGAAATTATTAAATATTGCACCTGTACAAATTGAAGAGGTTTATAGAAGGTAATTGCCTAATGTCGGTTAGTTATTTTTCATCTCTTCAATGCAAAGATTCCTCTTGCTTCAATGTTTTATGTCCTCTGTAAGTTAATTTTTGGAATTAACAGAACGTTCATTATCAGGTTGTATGTTCTAAGTCTACTTTGAGTTCTCAGCTAAACGCCTGGCCCAGTATCGAAATACAAATTTTCAAACTGATTTCCTTTATTTTTGTTAAAGAAGCAGTTGAGAGAATTTGATAAAGACCAAAGCATTTTCCCTTTGGGTATCATTTCTCACAAAGTATGAATTACTCAGGTCTCCACATATTTCCAAGCATAAGCATACCTATCAGTTAAGTGCTGTCCTAGCATAGTACACCTACCCCCCCCCCCCCCTTTACCCACCCCCCCGTTTACTTATATTCTTGTTCCATTTTCCCCCTAAAAAGAAAAGATAACCTTGGTTTTTGTTTTTATACCTTGGGCCTTTTTGGGTTAAATTTTTAAGGGGAAAGTAAAAATTTTCCGAAGCTTCATGGCTGTTTAGAGAATTTTATAAAGACCAAATCCTTTTCCCTTTGGGTTTTCTTTCCCACAAAAGTTGAATTACTCAGGTCCCCACAAATTTCCAAGCATAAGCATACCTATCCGTTAAGTGCTGTCCTAGCATAGTACCCCTACCCCCCCCCCCCCCTTTACCCAACCCCACGGTTACCTTAACTCGTAGTACATTCTCCTCTATAAAGTGAAGGTATACTCTGGTTTTTGGTTTTAAGCCTTGGGCCTGTATGAGTTACATTTGTAAGGGGAAAGTAAAGGATTTCCGAAGTCTCATCGCAGTGATGGGGCTTACAGGGGCTTACAACCGGAATCTGACGTCAACAAATACATGGGTCTACAACAGTGTAATTTTACAAGGTATTGTGTCGGAGTGTTGATATCACTTAATGACACGATCGGCTTGAATCAACATAACTTCTTAAATGTAAGTGTTAATTCCCTTTCACCATCCATCTGTGTCACTGCATCATCCCTAGCCTACGTGTAGCCGCACCCTCCCCCCGACAAAGGAACAACGAAGAGAGGGAGCGTCTGCGAGAGGCTGGCACGAATCGTGATATGTGACGTCACTCCTTTTGCGAGAAAATATATAATAGTTTCCATTGGCTGCCCGTTCGATCATTTCTGTCGGAGGCGCTCATTGGTTTAAATGTAAAACACACACGCACATGCCAAAATGGCGGCGAGATTGCTTTCTTCCCTCTCTCCGTTTTTCCTTTGTCGGGGGAGGGTGCGGCTACACGTAGGCTACATCATCCCAATCTGACTTGACGTGCATTTTAAAAAAAATGAAAAATCGGTCTTTCTACCCTAGTGAGATCTTCTGCGGGAAAATTTAAAATCTTTGCGTAATGCTCCGCGGCTGCTGTAAGAAAAAAACTTTCCATCGTTCTTTCGTTTCTCATCTTTCAGTCAAAACGTCGATCGCCTCTCGATCAAATCCATTGAAATTTCAACCTGGGTTCAGTGATATCTAAGTTTCAAGTCTCCTTGTATCCTCAGTAAACACAGCTATAATAGTGATGATAACTGCGATAAGAAACAGCCAAATGAAGAACCTGTTAAGAACATTCGCCGCTAGCAGCCATTGTTCGTGTATTTCATCCGTCTTGTCATTTTCCTTAACGTTTTCCGCGAGAATTTTGACCGCTCGAGACTCGGCTACTGGGAGGTCGGATTTCTGTTTTGGAATCGTTGCTGAGTGAACAAAAAAAGAAAAAGTAAAAAAAGAGGTTTGTTAGGTACAAGAAGGGTTATAGATTTCTAGAACGAAGTCAGTGCATGGAAGGTACCACAATCGCTATTTATGTTTTCGCATAACACCAACCTGAAAAAAAACTACACTCAAAACACTGATTATGCCCACTCTACAGCCGTGAGGACCCAGGAATCTTGCCAGTGCATGGCTGCGTTTGTGGATAGAAATTATAAAGGAGAAAGAGATCTTGGTAAATACGAATGGAGTAGGGGTAAGAAGAAGCAGGGGAGGGGTGGCAACAAAGCATTCGTCAGGCCTCCTCCCCATAAAACAATTGCTGTTGCCATGCCAGTTGCATTCTATAGTCTGGAGATAGAAAATACCGGTAAATCTATGAGCTAAAAAGTCCCTCATCTTACGATTTTTCCACTTTTTCATGGTAATCCTTGCTTTTGTCCGGCCTTCTTCTTCGGTCGCTCGGGAACCTCGAGTGTCCAGTTGTAGTTGTGCCCTCGGTGCCTTGTTTTCACGCGTTTCTGTGTGTCCGGTGTTGTAAAAAACTACCCGCGCCAAAAAACCTAGAATGTATTTCTGGCAAACAAAAAAGGCCTTTCGTGAATTTCGGACGAAAAGCCTGCTTTGTCAGTCGAATGGTCGAGTGAATGTAACAATGAATTTTCTTGAAAACAATTAAGTCTCTCAAAAGTGTGAAATCATTCTTTAATTTGCAATAATTTGCATATTGCCACGTTTATTGAACTCAAATTGCTGGCCTTCTAATGAAAAGGTTGGTGTTCATCGAGAAAAAGGAGCCCTGAAAACGCATCTTCCTCCCCCCCCACCCCCTCCATCCACCCCTTCCTCCCACCAAGGAAGGTTTAAACAACTATAACAACAGTTGGGAGTTAAATCTGGGCCCGATTCAGGAGGGAGAAGGGAAAGTCGTGTGAGGGATGGGCGGATATTAAAAACCGGCCGATTATAGTTATAGAGTTTAGTTCGTAAACGGGCTCCACTTTGAAGGTATTGAAATAAGTAACAGACAATTTCTTTCGGATAACATAAAAAACTATCTCACTTATCAATCGTGTTACAAAACCAAATTCATCTTAATTTTCATTATCACGGGGTAGTTTACGAACTAAAAACTCCTCTCTGATCTCCAGTTTGTCACGTAGCGATTATCGAATGGTTAGTTCAACTGATGCGCTTCTGCAAGTCAGGTCGGAATCCCAAGTCGTTAAATGGCTTCAGCTGATTAGATGAGTAAGATGAGAACATTTTGTCGCCCCATGTAAAGGAATCCGGATTCCGGAATGGGGGAAATTTGAGTTGGGGAATCCGGAATGCAAGCCTTGGGAATCCAGAATACAGAACAAGGAATCCGGAATCCCACTAACGATCCAAGTTCCACAGGCAAAAAACTTGGAATCCAGTTCATGGAATCCGGAATCCACAGGTGGAATCCAGAATCCAAGACTGACTTGGATTCCCTTGCATGGGCCGAATCTTAAATTTTAGTGTTTTACTGACCTTTCTCCAGTGAGGCAATGGACCAGACCTATGGTGTACATAGCGCAGTACATAACACATGGCAGCTAGAGATACTGATACCTCTATTATGGTGCAACTGTAGTATTTACCAATCAACGGAAGGTCCTCTGAAACGGGCATTTTCTCTTCCACCATCAAGAAAAATACAGCAAGGGATAAAAGAATTGTGACTCCCACTGCCATTCGTTCACCAGTGTCTGAATTTAACACAACGAAGAAAATATACTACAGATGAAGGCAGACAGAAACGTTTGATCACCAGTAGAATTTAACTGACTGCTTTTCTGTGTGTTACTCGTCGGGAGGGTAATATTTACCGTTCGAATTATTAGCCAATTGACCGTGAACTTTCTGAGTGGCCAGCTGAGTCTTTGACTGACTGACTGACTGACTGACTGACTGACTGACTGACTGACTGACTGACTGACTGACTGACTGACTGACTGAGTATTAAAATAAATGGCTGACTGGCCGAAAGCATAGAATAGAACCGTCAGAAAAACAGACAGCTGGGCGACGACCCTCCTTGGGATGGAATAACTACGTGAGGAGCTTAAATTGTGTAAAAAAAAATATGTCGTTCGGAAATGAAGGTAAATTGTTAACACTTCCAGCTCCGATCATCTTTGTCAAAGCTGACGTAACACGCTCACTCTGGATGCCTGATGTCTAGTTCCCAGGCCACCAGTAGTGTTGCTCTGTTAAATCAAAAGCCGCATATAATTCACTACTGATTCCTTAGATCAACGTGCTGTGTGACTCAATATCGTTTGAAACACCAGTTTAAGAATCCCTTTAGGATAATCACTTATAATCCTTATCATCTCAGACTGAAAAACTAATTTACAATATTAAAGCAGCGTGTCTAACCTTCAGGCATGAGAAACACCAGGAGTGTCAGAACAGATATAAGCGCACACGGTATGATGAAATTTGTGACATAAAACAGCGGAAGACGCCTGATATGGAGCACGTAAGATACCCCAGACACCATGTTTTTGCAGCAGAGATGTGACATAAGGCTACTTTCAGAGCGCGCACTGATCAGAACCCATTCTCCATTGGGGATGTACTCGCTTGTGAAGACAGTCCGACTGGCAGCGGAGATGTTGAGCTTCGTAATGTCATGGTTCCATGAGCCAAACGTTAATTTGCACATCTAAAAATATTACAATTGTTAAGACTGGCTTAATTTCAGCTATCCATATAGAAGGAGTAAACCCTAAAGTGATAACTCGATTATGCTAGATCGGCTCATGTAAGGTATTCCGGATTCCGGAAGGGAACCAGGGAATTTTTTTGCTTTAAAATCCGGAATTCGGAAAATTTTGTTTGTGGAATCCGTAATCCTGGGCTTTGGAATCCGTAATTTAGCTCAAGGAATCCGGAATCCTGCTAACCATTGGAATTCGGAATCCAAGTTCCTCTGACAAGGAATCCCGAATCCACGGCCTAGAATCCAGAATGCAGAATCCAAGACTGCCTCTCTATGGGGCGAGCTATAAATGGACTTAAGGACCGTTCATTATTAATGAGGGGGGGGCGGGGGGGATCGCGAAAGTCATCAAAAGTTATTAGGGGGGATCACTGAAGTGAAGTAACATTCAAGGGCGGATCGGCTAAATTTCACCTTGTTTAGCCCCAAATCCTCCCCTCCCCCCTCCAACCCCGGCGATAAATACGATAAATTAAGAGAATGCCAACTGGCAACAAACAAAAGGAACAAGGTTTTGCCTTAATGAAGTGAAATCAAAGGAAGAAGATACATTGTAACTAAGAGAAAGTCACATAAACAAACCTGCTCATCCAAGGGAAAGTGCTCAACACTTATTTGACAGGAACTCTTGGTAACCTTTGGTACCAGCCACGTGACATTCCCATCGTACGTCACGGTGGCTTTGAAAGACTCTGTTTCAGATTCGTCGGTATCTGCCCTGAAACATGATAGAAGACGTCAAGTTAATTGCTCACTATCTCCCCAGAATGCGATCAATTTTTGCTTGTGAATCCGGAATCCTGGGCTTTGGAATCAGGGATTCAGCTCCAAGAAGCTAGAATCCCACTAACGATTGGAATCCGGAATTCAAGTTCCACTGAAATACCAATACCTGGAATCTGGATTCCAGTGCTTGGAATCCGGAATCCAATACTGTCTTTATATATTATCCTGCACGGGACGATCACTACGTAAGAATTCTCTTCGGTAATGTAACGGAATATACAGCTCGTAAAAGAATGTTGTCTTTAATAAACCAATATTTTTCCTTTGGCACAGTATTAGATTGCCCGAAGACTCGTTGAACAGAAAGGAAAGGAGCTTTATAGGTACCTGTGTTATCACTGAAGTTTTTAAAGTTAATTATTATTAATTGACATATACCCTATCAGAGCAACAGAGTGGACCCCAATAGACTGGACCAGAAAACAGGGTCGCCCAAAAACAAGATGGAGAGACGATCTCACCAAACGGATCGGACCCTCATGGTCAAGATTAGCTAAGTCCAGACACCTGTGCGATCGATCCAGGGAGGGGTTCCTCTGTCAAGAGTGAATAAAAACTCTGATGATGATGATGAAGACGACGACGACGACGACGACGACGATGATGATGATGATGATGATGATGATGATGATGATGATGATGATGATGATGATGATGGCCCAACTTTTTCAAGTTTCAATCCATGTCCATCCTTGTCATTCGTTGCAACAGACAACACGAAACAGTTTCAAAGCCTAAATATAGTCTTAAAAAAAAAATCTAGACCCTTAGGTTTGGAATTCAATGGCTGCGAAGACAAGTTTTAGCTTTTTAACGTAGAGTAGCCCAAGCGTGCGAAATGCTGATTGGCGGAGATGACATTAGTAATGACGTCATTAACCTAGGCACGTATTTTTCTGTATTTGTTTACATTCACCCTTGTTTCTGCTTCGCGCTGTTTGGCGGGAGCCACAGGGGAATTGGATGTGGAATTCAAATTTCAGAGACGTAGTTCCTTTTCCCGCCCCGCCGCCAGAGCACCCCGGAGAGCTTGCTCGCAGGCTAGTTTCCCAGAGGTACGGGAAGTGTTGGCGCGAAAAAACCAGATATATACTGAACACGTGTTAATTTTTTTTAGTTGTAAAGTACACGCAAAGAGAAACACCTGCTGAAAAATAAATAAACTTGGACGTTATTATCCAAATATTTCAAGTAAAAAGTTTAGAGAAAGTATACAATAAAATCTAAGATTCAGAGATCTTAGATTCAGATAGAATATTTTGTTCTGTTTTAGTTACATATACGTAGCTGGCTGAAGTTGTTGCAAGGTATACTGAAATTTTCATGTGTTTTTTCACTGTTTATTATTTAAGCTTTACAATGATTTATCCGCATTCGACTTGGTGTGTATTTAGTATAGCACTGATTGCGGGAGTCAACAAACACTGACTTGCTTTTTATAATATAATTAAGTTCAACAGATAACCATATTTAAGTCTGCATGGCTTGTTGGCACGTGAAACCCCCGTTTAGTGAAAACATGAACGTGACCTAACCGCCATCTACTAAAACAAGAATGTGTTCGTGAGCGTGGGCGCGATTGTGTTTTTGTTTGGAGTCTAAACAAAGGAGAATAGAAAGAAGAACGTGAAATAAGAACATCTGCCACAGATGCAATGTGAATATGAGTGCGAATTCGATTCTGGGGAGAGTGTTTTTATTATTATATTATTATTTAAAATCGTGTAAAATAAAAAGTAGAAAGTGAAGTAAAGCTTTTGCAACTATGGTGAGAATGTGTGTTGATTCGGATCTATAACGTGAGTAGAACGTGAAATAAATTTTTGTTTAAAAGGTAGTGTGACTATAAAATGTAAACAAGCGTGGCGCGTATGGGTGTTGATTTAGAGTCGTGCAAAGTATAAGAGAAAACGTGCAATAAATTCTGCTAACGAATGTGATAATCAGAGCGTCAGCGTGATTGTGTATGGTTCTGCAGTCATGTAGGTTTAGCAAATTAAACTCACTGTCCAAGGAATCTCGTGTGTCATCAAATAGCATCAAGTAGTTATGAAAAAGCAAAATGTTTTTGCAGAATTCGCAGTGACTACATCTTAAATTTTTTTTTTTATATCAGCTGTTTTTGTTCTGCACTCTTCGCAAAACAACCGACTGTAAAATTCAGAGACGTTGCAGAGCTATATCTTCGTTAGTTTTCAACATATCGCTTTCAAACTTGGCAACTTTAATTACATTAATTTAAGGCGTTCTTTCATCGGTGTGGACAGATTTTTGCTTACTAGAGTGCTTCCAGTCAAAATTTGAAAACAAAGTGAAAGGGTCTATTCATGACCATTTTTAACCTCTCATCACATACAGTATAAATAAACTTCTGCAGGAAATGAGTAGGGGCAACAAATAAGAATTCAAATTTTGATCTCAGGATTTAAAGGGTTAAAGGCCCCGTACACATGAATCCAGATATTATGGAAACCGAATATGTTTTGCAACTGAGCGAGAGCAACTTGGATTTCCTCGTTAGTATTAAAGTCGGCATATTTGGATTTTCGACGTTTGAAACAGGCCGTACTCAGCTCCGAACACGTGAAACCTCCTTTTCAGTTAAAAACGCACGTGGAATGAACCCACCTGCTAAAGGTCTGAAATCTGCCACTTTCACATAATCCGCGTTGGTTATTGCCCAAAATTTTGCATAAGAATTGTTTTCCATTTCCTCTAAGTAATAAAGAAAAAAATCGAATCGTCACAAGGGAAAGCGAAAACAATGCTGATGCAAAATTCGAAAGGGGATTGGGTGTACTATGGGTAATGCGAAAGTGACGTCGGAACTCCGTGTGTCTTTCGATTTTCTCTTTTTTTAGCTGTTCTCCTAATAATTTAAGTTGAAGGAAAATCCTCCTGAGATAGCAGATATCAAGGAGGTAAAGAGCCGGTTAGGAAAGGTAATTTGGAGGTCTATTGAAGACGTTAAAATTTGATTGTCAGTCCACTATAGTTGTAATTCCAAACAAGGATCTGCATTCGGTTCTTCCTCAGTATTTCCGTTGTGGTCTATTTACATATGCGATCGGAGGAATATGTGTGTTGAATTGTTTTTTTGTTTGTTTGTTTTTTTTTTTGGCTGCTGCTGCTGCTTCTTCTTTTCCAAAGTTGGACGTTTTAAAACGGTCGGAACGAACTTGTACAACAAGTAGCGTAGTAAACAGGTAATATGAGTAAACAAATAATTTATTGCATCAGATTTTGTTCTCAAGACAGAAATCTATAAATCTAAAGAGTTTGTATTCGTTGAGTCGTAAAACTGAAGTGACCGCAAAGGTCATAGATCGCCGCTGACTGAACACAAACTAAAATGCATATTTGAAATGCTAAACACAACTTTTAAAAGCTATTTACAACTCTTGGGAAGCAACCTATTAGAAACCTATTAAAAAGGAGGCCGATTTGTCCTTGAATGTCATAATGAACGATTTTGAGCACATCAGTCAGTTGAAGTTAATCCTCCTCGGTGATTTCTTGGTGTGCCTCTTTTTGTTTGTCTTCGCTCGCTTTACAGTCTGTTTGAATTTCCTCGCTCTCGTTATTGTCTTTTTACTAATCCTCAAGTTGCTGCTTTGCATCGTTTGAACTTATCTTTTCGAACTGTTCAGGGCCGTTGGTTTCAACTGTAACTTCTGTCAGTTCCTCCTCCTTTTCGTTGTCTTTTCCTGACTCAACGAAAGCGTTGGTTTTGCACGATCCGCCGTCAGAACATAGAAAGTACGCTATAAGGAAGCCACCGAGAAAACACTCTATGAACAACAGTATAAGCCCAAGGAAAGCCATTTCAGCGTCTATCCGTGAGGCTGGCGTACTTCGTCAGGGTTTGGGATGTGTGCAATTAATTCAACTGTCAAGCACGTTCGGTAGATTATAAAAACTTTAGAGAAAGAGCTTACCACTCTTATAGTTACTCCTGTGTAAATATCGCTCTTGTTCTCATTAATCACGTTTCTGTTTTGTTATGTTCGGCCAAGTTACAACCTTTGTAAGGTGGCAATATAATGTTAAGATCATACTAGCCATTTTCAAGCTTCCGGGGCATTGCGCCACAACTTGTAATTATGGACTAAAGTACTGAGTTTTCGTCAATTATTTTACAAGAGAGACCATTTGCTCCGATTAGTATGTACTTATTAATGAGTTGAGAATCTGGTATCAGACCTATGCATTTTTTTTTCTACTTAACGATAATAAATCTCGAGCGGAATAAGCTGTTTTCCCTTATCAATTTTAATTTTGTCACCCGAGGGTTCATCAGCATATTCATTAAAAGACGTAGCTTGCTCCAATTCTGGTAACAATTTAACACAATATAGTAACAAACCCCTACAATCTAATTGTTTTCGGTTTTAATTTTTTTACGTCCTCTGGTGGCAAGAACTCTATTAAAAGGCTCAAGCGCTGATTCTTGGCTGAATATTAAGCGGATATGAGGAAAATAAAACCTAACAATGCATAAGACAAGCCACACGTATTTTGGCAAAAGATATTTGCACATGCGTTAGAAGTCAAATGCACGGCCTTAATCTGTGGTTTTTGGCTGGCTCTGGTTTCTTCATCACGTGGAACTTAGACTGGAATTGTGATGGCTTCCTCGCCTTTTTTTTGGGGGGGGGGGGGGGGGGGGGGGGGGGGGGAGGGGGTATATCACCAGCTGCTTTCTTGCCCGCTTCATACTTGGTTCCAAGGCCGCTCCCTGTTCAAGTAAATCCGACCAAGAAAAAGGATCGGAGAGAGGTTGCTGCTGTTACCAACCAAAAATTATTCGCGCGCAGACTTAAGACGTTATGACAGAGAGTTTTCAAATCACATTTACGACAAACGGCAAACATCAGATAGTTCAATTTGACAGTTTGTCAAATTAAGAAATGGTTGAATAAAAACTGTCCAAAATAATTAAAAATAAATGTAAATAGTGTGGATGCGCTTGACATGAAACTACTAATTTCCGTGTGGACATAATAAACAGTAAACGACAAGTAAACGGAAAACTTAGTCACGTGGTACAAATCATCGACATTTAGGTAAACGTGATTCTGGATCTCTCTAAATCGCAAGGAAGGCAATTAACGCCAAGAGATCTCAACAAAACAAACATTTTTTTTCCACCTACGAAGGCGAAAACAAGGAACCAGAACAAAATTCATTAAAATAGGGAGAGACTTTGTTTACAAGAAGCTATGTGTTACTGAGTTTCGGATTTTTTGGAATTGGTTTTAACTTTGAATTATAATGTTCAGGTTGTTTCTCATGGATGTGGTAATTTTATCTTTTAGAAGCCTTTTCGTCCCGGCGCTGCCGTTAAGTTTAAATAGCTGCTGTTAAGTTTAATAAAATAGACAATGCGCAGGGTAACAAGTGTCCGTGAGTCTGTTTGCGACTCGGGACACTGAAAAGTGTCCGTTTTCCGTATTAACGGGGATAATTTATGAGAAAATATTTGAGCTTTCCGTCGGGACAAACGAAACCGTCCGTTATATACGGTTGTCTGTATTAAGCGGGTTTCCGTGGAGCGGGGTTTCTCTGTATTACATAATGGATAGAGAAAGAAATTGGCCGATGGCTGACCCGCGCGTCCAGGTAAGTAACGATCATAGAAACAATGGCGAGACTGATTTGAGCTCCAGTTCCTTTTTCTTTTCTAAAGTGGTGAATGATACGTCTTCTTACCTGTTGTATAAAATAATCTGCGGCGTCCAGATATCTTTATTGCCCAAATTAATCTGTTTTATCCCGCCAAATTGAGAAAAATTCCACTTTAAATTTTCCTCCCTCCATTGCTGAAATAAATTATTTAACAGTGTAGTGACGAGAGGAGAATTATTTCTTACATGTAAGGATTACTGTGTAATAATATGGTTAAAAAGTCAACAGAACTGAGAGTGAAGCCTCTCTTGGTTATCCCAAAACGTGATCGATGAACTCGGGAGTACCACGAAAGAGCTCCAGTTAGTGGTCAGAGCGGAACCTGAACCTAAGATGTCTAAAAAACGTCAGGCACCGAAACCACTCTACCACGCCGACCCTCTAAAATGATAACGGTGGCGCATCAGTCAATGGGCTATTTGCGGGTTTCCTCAAGCCTCTGTTTCATAGCGAGGCTAAGTGCAAAGCCATGAAAATGATTTTTGATCCACAAGCAAATAAAATTCATTTTCACAAGAATGTTTTTACACTTGTCCAAGGTTTGATAGTGAAAGTTTTGGAACTCAGAAATGGCCCACTCGCATGATTTCAGCAGTGCCGACACTCCTCTCACTCTACTTTTGCGTACTACCGCTTATTTTTCATTCTCCTTCGAATGGAATTTAGAAAGATTTATTTATTTACTAATATTCATGCCTTACCATTTTAATTATTACATCTAAGGCAATTCTGAGGTATTTTTCTTCCTGAAGAGGAAAAGAAAAAATATATATATTCATGGAAAAAATGGTATGATTAATTAGCACGTAGAATGGTGTTGATTCCTATTATTACTAGTACAAGAAGAAATCTAAACTGAACATGAAATTAAAATGCCTGCTCTCTGTTGAAAGTCGCCCTATGTAAGGTAAATCCAGGAAATGTTTGCTTTTGGAATACGGTATTTCAAGGCTTTGGATCCGGAATTCAGCTCAATGAATCCGGAATCCAAGTCTCACTGATAAGGAATCCGAAATCCAGTTCGTGGAATCCAGAATCCAAGACAGTTCCCTTATGTGGGGCGATGAAAGCCTCCCCTGCTAGGAGAGGTCTCTTTTCCCTAGTATTCAGGGAAAATAGACCTCTTCTAGCAGGAATCTAAGGCGTGACCAGTGAGAAAATGGTAACAGGGACAATTGACAGAAATTTCGTACCTGGCGGGGCAAAAAGCATTTCATACAAAGCTACTAATCTCAGTCAGGAGCCTCTGGTCACTGACTCCTGTCTCAGTAAAGTACTATAGGAAACAGTAAGATGATTATTAAAAGAGTCAGGCTAGTAAAAGGCATCCGACATTCAAAGGTCCAATCGCCTTGTTAGAAACGAAAGTAAAATAGTTTCGGTGCATTATGCACGAATCGAAACAAGTTCCCAGCATCTATTACCCGGCATTATGTAAGCCGGGTTTGACGGCAGAACGTACTGATGTTGTTCCCTCAGGAAAGATTTCTGGTGTAGCGTAGGCCAAGGCGATTTTTTAAAGACTTAAGATGGGATTTAAAGAAGTCGCTTTTCTTGCCATTAGGCACAACAACAATACATACTGTATTTCAAAGCAACTTACTACTTTCACTATCCTTTGCAAAATCAAACTGTGCTCGACATTTACTGTGGTGTTATCGTCTTTAACCGGTCTAAACTTGTTGTTGTAGTGATTAGTGTTCAGAAGAAATCTTGTTAGCTCTCCCTCTTGACCAGAGCACCTTGTTAGACCTATTAGAACGAGATAAAGTATAGGATTGTTGAAAATACAAAGGAACCCCGCCATACGGCCACCTCGATAATACGGTCACCTCGTTATTACGGTCACTTTTTTGTAGTTCTTTGGGTTTATCAGTTTGTACTTTTTTTTGGCCGCTTGGCAAAAACGACCATACTTTTTCTTCAGTAAAGAAACCCTTATTAATAAGGTCACCTTGTAATTACGGCCAAATTTTTTTGGCCCATTGAGTGACCGTGTTAACGGGGTTCTACTTTACGATTACGGGGTTTGAGGAGTTTGTTCTCTTATCAGTAGGACAGGTCAACCGGCACAGCTCTTTTGCTTAAAATTTTCAATACTGCAGTTTTATGCTGGATATATATTACACAGGCCCTTGAGAGGCTTTTTTTTGGATCTGAGTTACATTACCCCTTAACATATAAAATGAAAGAAATTCGCCAGTTTTATATTAATAAAATGTTTTAACAGAGATGAGCTAAAAGGTTATTGTCAATAAAGTGTTCTTCTGAAATTTGTTTTATATACTGAACCATTCAGCAAAATAATTAGAGAGTAAGGATTAGACAGTATCTTTCACAAGTACTTTTTATACACCTTATTCTAAAATGGTGGTAGCGCAGGATGATCTGGGGAGAGTAGCGCGGAAACGAGGGTTATAGTATATATAGCCTGTGAACAAGTGGACAAATAGCATAGCATACATAGGAAAAACTCTTTTCTTATTCTTTTGCCCATCGGATATAGAATAAAACAGAAAAAACAAAGAACATGAACAAAAGCGGGAGCCCATCAAATTGTTTTACCCTTAGGAATGGGTAAAGCTCTGTTCAATTTTATTCATGAGTCTGCTTACTGGTCATTAACTTCCTCTTATTGTTTATATTAATTAATAATTTAACATAAACATATTAATACCTGTTTATAATTATTTAGAATTATTCCATCTTTTCTTTACCTACCGATTCTGGAAAAGCAATTTGTTACACTTTTCCGACACAAATAAAGCAATATAATCTTTTTTTCTTTACAGAGTCTTCGTTCCTTATATATGTTTTATTATAACCTGTCAAATGTCACATAAACACTGACTTGTGGTTATTTTCATTGCTAGCTATCTACATCAGGCTTGCCAATAGGAAATGGCATCGATGACATCAATGATGGTCCAAGTATCTCCATCAATCAACTAACTTAAAGAAAATGATGTTTGGCGCAAATCTTCTCGAATTTGTACGTCACAAAAAGTAAAAGAGAAGAAACAAATTAAATTGTTGAAAGAAGGATAGAGCCGAACGTTAACCCGGAAACTGACGCACGATAACAAACGATAACATGCAAATGACTAACCTAAAACAAAAACAATAAAAAAGGTGCTTTTATGTTCTGGTGCTTAAAAATAAGAAATCCGAAGAGTAAATTATAAGTTCCATTTCTAAAGATGGTTATACAATCGAAACCCACTTTATTGACACCCGCTTAATACGGAGAGACACCTCGTTATTAAGGACAGTTTTTCTGTCCCTGGGAGAAGTAAGCTCTCAAAGTTTTCCTAATTTCAACCCGCTTAATTGAATCGGACCGTTTCTATTGCCCCTCAGTGTCCTTATTAACGGAGTTTGACTGCATTCCTGAATGGTTGTTGAACCCGACAAAGGAGCTCAAGTCAAGTGTTCAGGTGAACAAAAACATGTTCGAAGATTCTCTTAGCGATGGTGATGGGATAAAGGGTTTTTTTCTTATTTTACTAATCCGTTAACTTGATTGCAGTAGGTGTGTTTTAATCATACTTACAGTGGAACCATGATCTAACGAAGGGCCAAGCGACTAGCAAAATTTGTTCGCTGTAACGAGGTTCATAATATCAAGGTTCTTTTTCATATATTTTACTAGCACTGAAGTAAAGAAACTCGTTCGTTATACCGAGGACTTCGTTATATAGATATTCGTTATATTGAGGTTTTTATGACTATGAGTGATACTGAAAAGTATACAGAAATTAGAAATTAGAAATTGGAGGTCGCGTTATCGATGTCGTCACGTAATAATTGATAAGCGAAAATATAATTCATATTTTTACCCGAACCCAAATGACCAAAGCATTTTAAAATACCTTGTCAATTTTATACCAGGCACTCGATGAAACATTAAAAAAATACTTGTGTTTTCCGTAAATATTAGTAACTCACTCAAAAATATTTCTTTTCATTCTCATTGTCATCCTGATTTTTTTGTTTGTATCGAGCAAAACTATAGTAGAGAGACACGTAACGAGGTATTTTTCAACATATCACGTTCTTTTTATCTACAAAAATTTAACATCGGCGTGAAACGATCCAAGCAACTCTCCATATTCAGAATGCTGCAGGTAATTCCTTGTTCAGATAAAGGAATTAATTAGATTTCCCATTCTTAAAAGCAAAGGATTTTAACACTTACCTTCTAGAATTAGAATGAGCCAAGCAGAGTATATTTTTGCGTGGATATACATTCTGTTACGGATAGAATGAATTGGAACATATTTTATAGAGATATTTGTAAGCCAGTGAGAACATTAGATGGGAATCAGATACGTCTCACTGCTTCTGTAGCATATTTGACAGAGCACCCTTCAAACTTGCAATAGCAGGTGGCCAACCGCTGTCAGGCAATACAGGTAGGCAGGCTCTTAAAATCGGCGACAAATATGAATTAAGGTACGGTTGATTTAAGGTCGTGTTTCTGTAAGGTTCTTCAGCAGCTCTATCTGTTACGTAGTCGCTAAAAAAGTATAGATTAAAAATTATACAAAGGCTAGAACTTCTCGTGTCTAACTACCAAGTCTAGTTTTGAGCCAAAGATGTTATCTGAGTAATATACAAAGTAAAATAAAATGCCTTGTCATCGCTTATTTGCTTAAAATTGCGACACAGTTTAGGTTATATATTCTGTGGCTTACAAAACGTGACTTACGAACCCATCAAACAATATGCCAAATTGCTTACAAGTGCAGAAAATGCAGGAATATTTCTTCTATCGCCTTTTCAGTTCCTCGATTTCTTGCCTCATTATCAATGTTAAAAAGTTAATATAAAGCGTTTGTTTGTGCAACTACTTTATCTATAATAGGCCTTATTCTCTAACTTAATGGATTTAGACGGGTTTCTTAAAGTCTAAAATATAATAATCAATGTGGTGTTCTGTACTGCTCAGAAATGCCGACTGTCTTTCGAACGGTGCAGTTTTTTCGTTATGAGCGGTTATGGTAACATGACAAAAACGTACGGAAATAGACTGCATGTTTTTATCAGTTGTCAGGACAATATTCCTAGTTGATGTCCCCGGGGGGGACCCCCACTTAAAAGTGACAGGGGTGCTCATCGTCTTGCTTTGGGGTGTAAATTACATATTTTGGTCTCACTTAAGGTGTTTGGGATGGAAAGTCATTACACAGTGACTCTCGATAACTCGAACCTTCAGGGGAAATCGAAACAGGTTCGAGTTATCGGGAGCTTGAAGAAAATAGCCGGGGGTGAAAAAAAAACCAGTTTTTACTGCATAGTGAGCATTTTAATCACATTTAATTGTAGGAATGTCAACTGAAAATTAAAAGATACTTCTAGGTTATAAATCAGAACGTAACTATACAAATTATTGCCTAAATAGAGCATGCGTTTTACTGTTTTGAGAAGTAAAGCTGCTTCACGTGAGATTTGTGACAAACAACATCAGCCTCCAGTAGTAAACTATATGCCTACAACACGTCGATGGGAAAATTCAAAATTCAATGTTTGGTACGCCAGAGGACTGTTTTTTTCTCCGACCTTTAAGGGCTCAAGACATTGTTCGAGTTATCGAGGGTAAAATTATATAGAAATGATCCGAGGGGAAACAAAAACTACTTCGAATTAGCGGGAGGTTCGAGTTAGCGAGGGTTCAAGTTATCGGGAGTCAACTGTATTTACCCATTCAGGTATCGTTTAGTTCTGTGCATAAAGAAATTTACCAAAAATGTCCTCACACTGACCACACAGAAATGTTCCTTAGGGGTCAGTTTACACCCACATTGGTCTCCTTAGGGGCTTTAGCTTGAATTTTCCGACGAGCATCCGCGTCATTTCTATATGGGGTTTCCCCCGGGAATGATGCATCTAGTCAGTTAATAACGAAGTGCGCTTATTGCGCAAACAAACACAGGCCGAATAAATAGGTGGTTCCTACTTGCTCTCCCAGAGTTAATATGAGTGTCATCAAAAATGATGTTTATATTTCAGAGCATTTTCGTCTCAATTTCAATGGAGACGAAACCTTAAAAATGGTAAGAGGTATATTCCAAGACTCTCACAAGTACCTTCCTTTTTTGGGATAGATTCAGATGGCCGGGCTTACTTACAGGCATTGCAGTCGGACCAGAAGCATTAACCGACACTCAATGATCCGGGGAACTTGATCGATTGTCCACGAGGTGAGACCATTGGTACTATGGCCGAAGACAAAAAAAACAGGAGTTGAGAGGTAATATTGGTTCCGTAAATTCTTCAAATGCTTAGCGATGTTAATTAATATAGGCTACTTTCAACATTACAACAGAACATCACAATAACTTTTTTATGACGCAGAATCTTTCAACTTGACCTATCTTTGTCTCTGTGTCCTATTTTTCAATTATTTGAAAAAAGTTCAAACTCAAACTTAGAAGGCAGTCTAAAATGCCAGAACAAATATCGCCTGAGGTCAGATTTCTCACTAGATTGGGCAAACACTGATAGCATCTTGTTCAGTCGCCTTCAAATTATCGAATAATGAAATGAAGGCTAGAGGAGCAATTTCAAATCAGTTTGCAGGGTAATTCAATCTTTCATTGAAGGCTGAAGAGCCCGGTAACTGTGGAAATTAATTTTAAGCAAAAGCATTGCTGATGGCTGGAGTAATCTAGAAATCATATCAGGACGGGACATCTAATGTTCGTTACGTAACTGACGGTTAAAAACTGAAAAAGAACTGTCAACCGACCGTGTAAAGATCAAAATAATTCAAGACGTCAAAAATAGGTATTATTTGTTTTTATAAGTTACAAGTCACGTATTCATCAAAAGGTATATTTTCTTTTTCAATAGTTTAGATTCTTTAATTTGCATGTTAGACAGGCCTCGTGGTTCATCGTTTGACAAAACAATCTTACGATCAATACTGTTTGTGAGAGCACTTCAGACCCTCCCATGCAGTTTCAATACCAATATTTAAGGCGATAGGTAAACATGGCTGACCGGAACATATCTCCTTAGCGACGGAAGCTTAACCATAGCAACATCAAGTGTTTAGCTAACGGAATGCATATGAAAAGGGCCGCAATTCGCCTGGATGGAGCTAGAACAACTTTTCGTCGACCAATATTTTAGATGGCATAACAGATCCTAAGAAATAAAGCTTTGCACTATTACCTTACGATGTTAAGCAAGTTAAATAGCTGAGAAGTATAAGAAAACGAACCTTTGGTTTTGACACATTACTGCGCGAAAACGGATTTTGCTAGAGCACAATCGCTGAAAGCAAGTAATTAGCAAATTGTTGCAACTGGAATGAAAACCAAAAAAAGATTTAGCCGAATATCAAACAAAAATATCGACACCGAAAATTAGAAATTAAAAACTACAAATATCGTATCACAAAACAAATTAATCAACTTTATAGCTGTCTTCTATAAGGAGCGCACACTTGTTCGATGTTCATTAAGTACAGGTAAAAAGCCATGGCGTACTCTCAGCGTTTTCCCAAGATCTTGCTACTCTTAACGTTAGGTAAGGTGACTTAAACTTAGCCATTGAAGTTTTAGAGTTGTAAAAGTTATTTAACTAAATCAAATATGTTGGAGCTGACTAAGCTAGTAAATTTTATTACGTACAATCAAGACTTATTAAAACGGACACCAAAAATTAAGGCACAAGTTCAATTGCCGTATTTTATGTAGAGCTGTCTCCATTATGGAAATACGGACGGATAAATTATGGTAATATTTATAAGATTAAGAGAATTCTCCTACAGCTCAATAATTGCGAGTAATCTCTTTACAGACGTCTTGGAAAGATGAGTTTGAAACTTACTATAAAAGTATTTATGCCTTATTACAATCTTTCAAACTTTCTTTATTTCACACTATATGCATGTAAGGAATTTACACAAGTGTACGTACCTTAAGTCTATTACTGTTAAGAATTAACTGTATTTAAGCAGTGTTACTGTCTCCGTGTAAGTGTTATGCAGAGGTGTCTCAATTATGGAGACAGGGACGAATCAGAAATTCTGGTATTTTTACGGACTAAGAGAATTGTACTCGAAATGATTGTGAGGTGTCGATAATCAGTGTCAGAGAGGTCTTGGAAAGATGAGTTTCCTACTGTACTAACAGTATTAATTTATACAGCAAACTGTTGAAGTTCCCGTCACCTTAAGAGCAGTTAAGAGCACCTGACGCGTTGGCTGCTACCCCGTAAGGAAACAGCCTAACCGCACTTTAAGCCTTTTCGCCTCTAATTAAATAGAAAAATAACTCCGTTCTAGCTATTCCTCTGAACAATGGATAAAAATCTCAAGTCTACAACATATCTGTTGGTCAATAATTTGGGGAATTTGGTTATTCGTGTTGGAGTTGTGGACACCCTGAAAAGACGTAGTTTCACAAAACGACTAGACAGTTATAGAGAGACAGAACTACAAAAATGCGCGTAAATAAGATCGGAAAAGTTTTCAACTTACATTTGTAATGCTATTACCCAATTTACCAAAGAAGCTTTTTATTCAAATTTCATCATGAATTCTTAATGGTTTTCTAAACCTTAAGACAGTAATTGTTAATGGACGCTCTTAATTCATTAAAATGATATCCGTGCGTTCTAGAGAGTAGGTACCCTGAAAGTACGGGTTCTAGTTAACGAATTTTTCCTCTGGCCTAAGAACATTTACTGCTTGCGGAAAAGAACTGAGTAACAAAATTAACTCCAGGACCTTTAATTCATTTCATCATCAAATGTTCATGAAATTTTCTTCATTACTTTTATTTGAGTTTACAAGTGTTTTCCAGACCGATTCAGGTTGATTACGTTATCAATGACAATTGAAGTATAACCAAGGGAACTCTATCTTCATCTTGGCCCAAGATGTCATTGAGTAGTATTGTCAGAGGCAAAGTTAACTCCAGGACCTTAAATTTCATCATCAAATGTTCATGAAATTAAAGCTTCTTTACTACTATTATTTGAGTTTACAAGTGTTTTCCAGACGGATTCAGGTTGATTACGTTATCTATGACAATTTAAGTTACAACCAAGCGCACTCTATCTTCATCTTTGCCCAAGCTATCACTGAGTAGTATTGCCACCCAAGTCTTGAAAGCCGATATTCACAATAAACTTTCTTTTTGAGGGCTTAGACATTCCTTTACTTTTTTTAAAGATAGTGTATTGTATTGACAAAAAATCTGAACAGTGGATAGACTTTTTTCCTTGTTTCTTTACTAGGGTGATAAAACAAGTTGTTGAAATTGCCCTTCTGAGCTCACTCCCAAGAATTTTATGAGCAAGTTACCTATATATCTTTACTAGTCTATTTCCTGTTGGTATTGGCAAATACTCCTGCTATACATTCCCAAGTGATCGAATGAAAAGATAGACACAACAGTCAATAACGGCCGAGCAAATCACCCACAATCCATTCGTCTCCTAAATTTTTTACTTTAACGAAGTGTCTTCTGAAATGATTTATTTCAGGCCTCATGAAAAGTTGAATACTTTTGTAATAAGTTGCTTTTGAATATCAGAGACCCGTCAAGGAGCTGATGAGGTCGAGCTCCTTCTACATTTGTACTTTTAACAATTGAGCACATTTATTACATTTCTATGCATGGCGGCCGTTTTCTCTGCGTACTTTAGCTCTTAAAAGAGCTGAATCATTCCCTCAAGGAGCAACGATAAAAGCTGAGGCGAAATTTAGATCCTGGATGAGTGATCCAGCACTTTTGGGCTTCAGATTATACATTATAAAGTGTGTTCAAAAGAACAGTTCAGTCAGAGTTAAGCCTTTGATTGCAAACCAATTTTTGTTCTATTTATTACACAGCTTTGCTTGTGGTAGTATGTATTGCCGATGAAATAAACAGAAAGCCGGACGATGATGAAACAATCCGTTCAGACGATGTTTCCGCCAGAGTGGAACGTCGTTCAGGTAAAATCAAAGTTGTTCGTCTGAGCGACGACGACAGCGATGATGATGACGATGACGATGATGATGACGATGATGACGACGACGATGATGACGACGACGATGACGACGATGATGACGATGATGATTTTAGTGACGACAACGAGGACTTGTTATCGTTTGAACTGGATGGAATCGAAGAAAAAGATGCAGACGGGAACGACGTGGGCAGACTGGAGAGACATTCCGTGGACTCGTTCGACGACACTTTCTTTCAATTGTCTCAAGTAAAAAGCGACTCCTCCTTTCAAGGCCTCTCGGCAGTTAATGTCAACATATCTGCTTATCTTGACGATCCTAAGGCTAATCTTGACGTCATGGTTTATCTGTTTCGTGAGGCTGGTAAGGTCAAGTTTGGCACTGAGGCATTTAATGTTCAAGCTGGAACAGTGAAGTTTAATATCCAGGTTTGTTATTTTCAGATGTTTTAGGTTTAACGTAATAGAACCCAAGACATTGTTCGCTTTATGTAATGTGACCCGGATTTCGGAATCGGGGAAATTTTCCCGAACCAGTTACTGGAATCCCGAATCCACACCGTGGATTCCATAATGACATAGTCAATATAAATTGTTCTTAATTGGTAGTTCTAGCATCATGCATAAAAAAAGTCCTTTGAATCACGGTCTCATAAACTCCTTTTCCCACAGATTAAACTAGGAACGTCAAAATAAATAATTTCTTTTCGCACAGATTAGCAACTGGAATTTCTGCAAAGAAACTGACTGCAGTGAGGGAAAAGCAGGGGAATACCTGGATCTCAAATTAAAAATCAAGAGCAAGGGAATACCCGAAGAGGTGGATGACGAAGACCGCAAGAAAGCCAATAAAGACGCTATTTGTCAGAGCAACGACAAGTCCGATAACGATGTAAATGACGCAAACGACGACAGTGATGATTGTCCCACCATATATGACATGGGAGGGGACTCTGAGATGCTGCTCAACAAAGGGGTAAGTTAACGAATCGGTGTCGCCCAATGTAAGGTAACCCGGATTCCGGATTACAAAGAAGGGTGAGATTCGGCGAGCGTTTGGAAGGCGGAATTCGAGTTCCATTGACAAGGTATTCGAAATCTAATACATGGAACCTGGAGTCTACAGCTTGGAATCAAGAATCCATACAAGACTGTCTTGGATTCCCGTACCTAAGGCGTAATGGTAAAAAAGAGCGGAAGAAAGCAGTACGAGTTGGTTTGTGCTTAAAACGGAGAATGAGTTTAAGTTGTGTTAGTACCGAAAGAGACCTGTTTTTTCCTTTTTAATACAATCCTTTTCCTTCTTAGATCATGAATGACGACGAGTACACTGCCATGCCAACAGGATTCCCTAAAATGGAGATTGAAGATGGAGAAATGAAGTTCAAGTTCCGCATTCCTAAGTTCAACCAAAATTCTTTGATAGACCCGATTGTAACACCTGGTAAAAGCTCAAGTTCTTCAGCAGTAAACGCATTGTGGATGCAAATCAGTATTATTCTGTTGCTTCAGGTCGCCACTCTATATTTAGCTTATGAGAACTATTAGTCATTAAACAGTTTTGAATTTTTAGAGAATCTCGAAAGGGTTCGAAAAAAAAAGGAAATTCTAATGTATCGATCCTGCTTCCATACCTAATTTAACAACAATCCTGATATCACATTTGATTTTTTATGCGCAGTGTGTTACCTGATTTATCAACAAAGTTAGTACGTTATTAGTACGTTTTTAAAACTATGTCTAATTTCTAGCTTTGGAGCGCCGGGCCAGCCTGTACACTTCACACTACTGACAAATTCGGGACACCATTAATTGAGAGAAAAACTTGATATTCTCTTCAAAGTGGTAGCTACTCGAATGCTTAAATAGATTCTAAATGCACATTTAACATCCATTTAAAAATAATCTTGTAAGCGTGAAATAAAGTATAAGGTAGAATAAAGCTTCAGTAGGGCCGGGTGGGGGGTGCAATAACCTCCAGATCGAGCGGAGGTCCGGGCTCGAGCAATAGCAGCAATCATTGTCTAGTGTGTTCTTGGACAAGTCATTTCTCTCTCATAGTGCCTCATTATCCTCAATCCCTATGTATATAGTGGTACAAGGGAACTGAATTTGACTCCCTACCTCATGACCCTAGGAAGTGGGGAATCTAGAGGAGCAGAACACACTCCCCTCTTTTTCGGCCAAAGCGATGCTCGTACTTTGCCGCGAAAAATGTTTTACTTAGCGAACTCCCCCTAACCTCTTCATCTGATACCGTATATATAGCCTTAAGGCTCGCTCTGCTCGGAAACAAAATCGGACATAGGTGATCGCGTTTCGCAAACGGTTTTTGACTTTTCCTCACATTTTTCGACCCTTGCGTCCGACTTTCGCAGATGGACTTACGGAAAAGAGTCTTCTACAAGAACGAGCAGGATTGCCAGTACGTTTCTCATGCGACACTACAATATAACCATATCGCCCCAGGGAGTGGCAGCCATAGACTAGTACTTTTGTAAAAAAAAATCTCACTTCGCAGACTTCCCGACGAGGTGAGTGGGCAATTGAAAGACACGGATGTTAAAGCATGACATGACCATCGGAGGATCGAGTGGCCTCCTCTAATCCAGCTAAAGAATAGTTCGTGCTCTGTGTGGATGATGCGTTAACAAGGTGTACTTGAACCTCGCTTTACGGACACCGCTTAATACGGACACCTCAGTCGTTATTACGGACAGTTTTCCTTCCCCCTAGGAAAAGTGAGCCCACACATTTTTCTATAAATTCAACCCGCTAAAACGGACACTTTCTATGGCCCCCTCAGTGTCAGTTTTAACGCGGATTGACTGTAGTTTATAGTTGCTATTCTTGAAAAAAAAAGGAGGGTAACAAAAAGAACCATAGGAGCAGTCAAAAGGAAAGACAATAGTGAAAGTGCGTAAGACCTTCGTTGATACAAGTCGGGAAACCACAGTTATCAGGGTCGTAGAAAGGTACGATATGGTCTATGCTTGATCGCAGGCCTATTTAGAATATGGATTATCAATCATATGAATGACATATTACATATATCTCATTCTACTGTTACGAATTATTTAATAGTAAACCGAGGAGTAATCTCCTTACTACGTTGTTTACAAGCTGAAAACTACGCTTCCGTCTAGACATTCCTTATTCTATACTCGTAAATAATAAGTATTTTATTGACTGCAAGCACACAGTTTTCATTATAACTAAGGAATGCGACATTCAGGATAATCAGGTTGTGGTATCAACCCAACTAAGAAGGGGTTGGGTAGAGGGAAAGGTGGTCTTGCAGCTTTGAGAAAGTCAGGATCCGAAGAGTAAGGTAAATGAAAACAAACTTCTGGCAAATTACGCAAACAAGTGATATCGTTGAAGGCAAAAGTAATCAGTCTCAGCTACTAACTGATCCTGAACCCACCACACTAAATTCTGAGGCTGTGTATACGAAATCCGGTGATATGACAATTCAAATTAATGATACCAAAATAATCATAGTTTGTGTCGGCCACCCTCCAGGAAAGGACAAAGAGGCCTCTAGATAAAGATTGGCCTCTCAATAACAGGTTCTGATAACTAGTCGTTAATAAATACAAATATAGAGGATGGCCGCTTTATAGGAGAGTGAAGTTTTGGAAGTGGTCAAAACTCAAAACGCAAGCTCAGGGCACCCACCGAATAAATAATAAAGGTGACTACCTTTCCTTGCAGCCCCTACCCCCGTAAATTATACTCTGGTGAGTTTAAGAAGATTACGATGCTGAAAATTATCAATGTTAAGGATAAAAAAACGATTAAGAAGAGAGAAAAGAAGGCGGAACCCGTTTATATAAAACCGTTTAAGGTACGATATTTCTACTATCAATTTTAGTTCAAACTATCAGGTCTAAATTGGCTTAGTTGGACGACCATATAATTAAAAGAGTGATTACAATGGTGCCTGTAGGAATATGGCCAGGAATGAAACTACAACTGCAATGAGAAACACCCAGATGCAGATATGATTCAGTACCAGTGCTGCCTTTCTCCACTCTTCCTGCCTCTTTTCCAAGGTCATCTGATGACGTATGTTATCACCCAGGATTCTATTGGAGGTTTTCTTGTCGCCTGTCAAGTGAACATAACCTTAACATCATTTTTGTTTGGGTACTGTATTCATCACCCCGTGTAAGGAAATGGGTCATGTAGCAGCTGCTCGGAAGAGAAGTCAACAATGGTGCCTAACCCTTTCCTGGAACAGTACTGAAACAATTTAAAGAATAACATGTCATGTTTTCTGAGACCAATCAGGAGAGACCTTCCGGGCAGCTCCTACACAACTGAAGGAAATCCAAGACAGTCTTGGATTCTGGATTCCACACCGCGGATTCCGGATTCCAGGTGCTGTATTCCAGTCTTTGACAGTGAAGCTTGGATTCTGGTCCAATCTTAGGGGGATTCCGGATTCCTTGAGCTGTATTCCGGATAAGCCCAGGATTCCGGATTCCACTAGCAAAAATTTCCCGGGTTCCACAATCCGGATTCCGGAATCCGGATTCCCTTACATGGGTCGAGTCTCTACAGTAGTCAAAACATCGCTTAGAATCAGGGAATACCGATTTACTGTAGTACTACAATACATAAACTAAAAAATATTCAAAGAAAAAAGGTTATTACTTTTTGAGCCATTAGTGTTTTCTTCCGAGGGAAGGTCATTTTTCACTTTTCCGTTTTGGACTGTAGTCTCGTTAACGTCGCTGCTGGTCCCAAACTTGAAGCAAAATAGTCTCGCTCCGTAACCAAGTAAATATTTCTGTCAACAGAACAGACTAAAAATTACAGACTTGAAACAGTCTTCTTCTCAGGAAAAATAATAAGGTTTTTAAATTAACTTGGCTTGTATTACAGCTACAACAGACCTCTCTTTTACTACTTGTTCCAAAGTAACTTGGATACAAGGCGTGTTTTGATTGGTCAAAAACCATTTGTTACCAACACCGTTTATCATCAGCGGAAAAACTTATTGTGAAACACTTTGTTTTCACTGGTATTTTACCGCACTTTTTAGTGGTTGACCATTGGGGTTACTCCCATCATGGCCCATAAGAAGATGCTCCGCCCGAAAGGGGTGCCTTTTTCAGATTTCAGGTATATAAAAAGGGTGGGGATCTCACTTGTTGAAGTATATAAAAGGGTGAGGGAAATCCGTCATTTGGGTCTGTGAAAGGGCCCAAAATGGCTAACACTGAGATGAATTTTTATGGCTTTTTTATGTGATTGATTCCTGTTTAAAAGACAGTGCATTTACAGAAGTTAAAAGGAATGCAAAGTTTTAATATGAATAAGGTATGTAAAAGGGGTACTATTTGTGAATGGAAGGTATACGAAAGGGGTACCTTTTTCGTGAAAAATGGTATATAAGAGGGTAAGGGGTTGGACCTGGGGGCGGAGCCTCCCAGTATGAACATTTGTTGAGTACTCTCCCCCCTCGCCTCTCCCCACCGGACTGGTGCATTGGAAACACTCTTAAAAACCACTTAAATCACTTGCCACACACAATCAGCTAGCTTTTCCGGTGTTCTACAAGCATCTTGCGTTGGTTATAACGCCGGCAAGAAGGCTTAGCTGAATCGATTTTTATTTCTTACAAAAGAACGAACCTGCTGACAAGAACGTTTACCTTGGCCCACTCAGGAACCTCTCCTTCTGTTGGGTTCTGATGATGAAAACGCAATACCCAGCAGGTCATGAAGAATGCACATGACACCTGTATCATTGTCACAGTGTAGTACATTCCTATCAGGGGCACCGCTTCAGATGTTTCGGGCATGTACTCGGCTACCAGAAGAAAAAAGAAGCTGAGACCAACAAGAATCGCCATACCTGAAAAAGGTAGTAAAATGATAGAGTACAGTACAGTCGAACCTTCAATAATGGCCACCTCTCCACAACGGTCACCTCTGCCACAACGGCCACCACTTTTTTGTCCCGGCGGACAGTCCATACATTGACTCTTGTTTTAACCTCTCTACAAGTGACACCTCCTTGCAACGGCCACTTTCTTATTCCAGCCGCATGGTGGCATTTGTGGAGAGGTTAAACAACATAAACTTTGTTCACTTCAAGCACCCAACCATTTGAATAGACAAATTTGCGGTCCCAAATGAACGAGTGTAATTTTTACACATATTCAGCGCATAAGGCATAAAAATTAATGTGCCTGGGCCCCGTTGTTCAAAAGATGGATATGACTATCCATCGGATAAGTATTAGGGAAACTAATTGCGCTATCCGGTGGATAGCGCTATCCACCTTTCGAACAACTGGCGCCTGGACTGTGACCCAACAGAGAATCTGAGGAACGTTTAAGAAGCCACACACTGTTCGTAAAGAGTACGGAGGGAAAGTAGCAACCGGTATGGTGGCCTATCTCGAATTCACACTCACAGATCAGAGGGGCGTCATTACGCTCTCCTTCATTATTTGTAAACTGCACCATAGGTAGTATGATACCAGTCCCGCAATCAGTGTTGAAAATTATCCCTGAAAATGATCCCTGAGGGTAGTGGATAATAATACACTTACAGTTTACAATTTCCTATCACCGGCTTTTCCAAAACAATTGAAATTAAGAAAAACTCACATTATCATGTGAGACCAGAGCAAGATTCTATAACATCACGATATGTATATCACTTCATCATACCTACTGTCATTCTCTCGTTACAATCTGGAGGCAACAGGAACACCAACAACGTCAGGACGGAAATCAGTGCACAGGGTATTATCAGATACATGGCGTAATACAGTGCTCGCCTTTTAATTCTCACACTGTAAGTGACGTCATGATAAGGATTTTGACAGCAATTGTATTTCTTGGAATGGAACTCTCCTGGGACTCCTAGAAGTTCCCATTCCACGCTCTCAGAATATTCAGTCAGGTCTGCGGAGGAGTTCTGGTACAAAAATATCTGATTATAAAGTTGTCTCTTTAGAATTGAAGAGTGGAGTGTAGAATATTGATCTAAAATGAAATTCATACAAATAATCTTTTAAGCTCATTGTTCACTTACCTCCAAAAAAAGAGATATTCCTTTTGAGTCATAAGTCCAAGAACCGAATTTCAGTTCACAGTTTTGTTGGTCAAACGGGTAATTGTCCACGCGTAACTTACAGCTGCTTTGAATAATTGTCGGTACATTCAGAGTGACTTGCCCACGATGTGTTATTACAGCCTTTGTTCGAGTAATGCCACTCCCAAAGCCTTCTCCAGCGCTAAAAGTAAATACATTTACGCATCGATCACCGAGAAATAGCACTTAATAGAATAAAAATTAATTAAGAGAATAACAATAATAATGATAATAATGTTAATAATAATTACTTGTTATACAGCACTATATCCGGTAACCAGATTTTGCGTGGATCGACACTGATACGTTTCACTCCACCATACTCTGATGGATTCCACTCTAATAAAGGATCAAGCCAATACTACAGAGAAAACAAAAAAAACTGAACGTTTCTTAAATGCTCATTGATCAAGTAAGGGACTATCAGAACAGGGCTGGAAATTATGAGGAAATAATTATAAATAAAATGATGGCATGATTATCTGAAAAGAACAGAGAGACGCCATTACTTTGGCTAATGGCGCGTTTTTTGACTGACACGTTCGAATGCCAAATTGCATGCATCTCAAATTTAGCCACCAGACAGACGCGGCAAAATATACGAGTGACAGATACACAGACACAGAAACAGAAATTAGAAACACAGAATACCGCGAGAGTAACTCATCACTGACTCATACAGATGAGTATAGACGCGCACTGGCAGTTAATTAAACCGGAAAATAGATAGGTAGAAGGCGAGTAAGAAAGGCATAGAGAAATTAGTTAATGAATGAAATGGAGATTGCATAAAAGCCTAAAGGAGGCTTTACTACTTACCTCTCGTATTTCTGCTCTTGTAATAAGCAGCTGGTTCTTGTCGTCCTAGAGATTGGCGCGAAGAAATACATAAAAAAAAATTTCGGAATAATCAGTGATGTAGTTACCTCTTCGTCCTGCGTCCCTGATGCATAAAAATCCCCAAAGACGCAAAGTAATTCATGGCATGCGTCCCGTAGGACGCAAAGATCGATCGATCGATCTGAACATGTGTATTTGTAGAAATATCCCGTTCGTGTAATTTCTGTGGCAGTTATTATGGCTGTCGTTGAACGATGCATATTTCATTGAGCCTTTGTTGTGCTTTAAAAATAGAAGCACCATATTTTAATTTCAGTGTACTGTAATAGAGAGTTTTAGAGTCCGGCTTCAGATTAACTCTCTGGTTAAACATAAAGGCCCAAGCATTTTCAATCTCGGACTCGTTTTTTTTTCTTTCAACTGAGACTCATGATTTTTCACAAGATGAGGTCCATACCGGACCCACCATTACTATTTGTAACAAAATCGTTGAGAACACATTTAACTGCGTCCTTTTACTTGGTATTGAAGTGTCAATGGTAAGAGAAATTGCCATAGTTATCAGCTCTAATAATTGTAATGGTTAATGGCAAGGATGGTGGTAGTGTTAGCGATAGTTGTAGTATATATCAGTAGCGGTGCCGATAGTGGCAATGGTATTGCCAGTATTCAGTGGCAGTGTTATCGAAACTGTTACTGTTGGAAGTATTGTTAATATTGTTGGTAGTGTTAGTAATTGTTCCTTAGTGTTAGTGTTACTGTAGTGTTAGTGGTGGTAATCATAGTAGTAAGAGTGGTGCTAGTGAATGGGACAGTGGTAGTGGTAGTGGTTGTAGCGGAAGTAGTAGTAGTGCTTAAAGTATTTTTTCAGGTATAGTGCGGGGAGCAACAGCCGGGCCTTTTTTGGAGTTTGAATACCCCATTATGACTGAAGCGGTGTCCCTATTGTCAGGGTTCGTCCTTTTGTAGGTGAATCGTCCAACTGCGCTAATAAACGATCTTTTCTGGCAAACACAAAATTATGCGTATATAAAGATTACTCCTTACCAGATCTTCTATCTCTTTAACAACCAATCCAAAGGTTACTGTGACTGCATCTCGGCTGTTCGTCACTGGTCTCACGCGGTTGTTATACCTCTTTGGGTCAAACAACTCCTTCAGGAGGTTATGCGCGCTTTTGTGAGTTACATCTGCCGCAAGAGGACCTTATAAAAAACATTAAAGGAAGTAGTTGCAGTTCGCTTTAAGAGAGGTGTATATAAAAATGAAATGGAGGGTGATATCTACTTTCCCTTACCTTTCATGATGAAAGAAGTAGCAAAGATCGAAATAAAAAATCTTTTGGCCGCAGTTTGCATGGTTCAATCCTCTCAAGCTACAGTGGCAAATGTAATATGCAGTCTAGCTCCTTGTTATTTGTTATAATGTGCAGCACTTAGTGTTGGACACCTGCCAGACAAACGGGTGGCTTTTTTATGTCATTTGTTGGTGTAGACATTCGAAAGAAGACGAAGCATCAATTACAGTTTTTCTTATCAAACATCAAACGAAAATGCGGGATTAACGCCATATGAAGTCGGCAATTAGAACTAGAAAGAAACGAGAAGTAAAGCATGCTCAGGTGCATATTTTCAGTCGATGAGAAAATATTATTTTATCGCCTTGCTTTGCGTACATCATTTACAAGACAATGTAAACCTAAAAGTGAATGTGAATCTGACTTTCGTAAACTTCCGCTTTTAAGCAGCCCCAGTTATAAGCCCCAAGTTCAGTTACAGGCCCATCTACCTGTAAACAAAACAATACACCCGGTTATAAGCGTCCTCAGGATATAAGCCCTCCTCTAGCCTGTATGGAAATGAATTCGATTTTGTACGACAGTTTGTAGCTTAAAAAAGCGAGTCAATTCAAAAAGTATTTTGATCAGCACTGTTATGAAGCTTGTTTTGAAACGCTTTTTTAGTCCCGGCTACGAATGAGCGCCGCCCCCTTTCCCCTCATATAAGTCCCCCCTCTCCACCCCCCACCCCCGTTTGTAACCCCTTACGAAGCTGTATAAGCGGTAGTTTACAGCATGTGAGTTGTTTATGTCCCGAACTGTGCTTCTTTCTCAGTTTCGTTCAACAATATCACGCTGGTGGCTCAAGATCTGATACATATTTACCGATATGTATCAAATTGCAGTCTAATGCGAATAATGAATATGAATGTGGATGTATTGTGTGCTTACACGCGTGTAACGACCTGGCTCGTGCCTTGCAATTGCTTCATTGTTTTGCATTTTGGACTCTGAAGTCCAAAATAATAAAACGGTAGTTAGGAGAGGAGTAGAACACGGTCGAAAAAACGATCGATCCGTTGGTAGCAAATTTAAATCAATAGTGATATGATAGATGTGTAGAGTATTTTCAATCGCATATCCCCTTCGCTCGTTTCTTGCTGAAGTATATCTACTTCTGTTTCCTTTAGTCCAAGAGATTGATAGATAGCTGGAAGCAGACGGTTCGTAGAATTATCGATTAGTGAACGATTCTAAATCGATTGGCGAAAAACCAGCGATGTAAAACAGGTGCCGTAGCAGGTGGCTAAACTCACATTTCACGTCCGCTTGTTTTTCTAGGTCCTCTACTGCGCAAAATTTGTTTTGTAAGGGCGTGTAAAATTTTCTCTTCGAGATCACTTAAAAACGTAGGCTTTGTATTCCGCTTGAACGACTTGAATGAACACCGCGATCGAAAGACATCTCAAGAAATTGTTTTAAAAATGGTAAATGCAGCAGCGAATTTTGGGGCCATTCCATAGTAATACGAAGGAAAAGAATTGTTTACAAGGTGTTTGCCATTCCCGTTAAATATGGCATCCGTGGAGGTTGAAAAACTCTCAGAACATCTTCTCAAATGCCCTATCTGCCTGGAAACGTACACAACCCCCAAAGTCCTTCCATGCTTGCACACGTTCTGTCAGCATTGCCTTCAGGGACTCATTCACAGTGGAGAAAACAGCATCGTATGCCCAACGTGTCGTTGTGAAGTTTCCGTCCCCAAAGATGGCGTCGGAGCCTTGTCGACCAACTTCTTTATTAACAACATGTTAGATTTCCTTTCTGTGGCCAAAAGTAATTCCGATCCCGTCATCTGCACTAACTGTGAGGAGAAGAACAGAGCCACCTCGCGGTGCATAGAGTGCATGGAATTCCTCTGTGCCCAGTGCGTTGCAGCGCATCGCAGAACACGTTTGACCAAAGAACACGAGGTGATCGCCTTAAATGATTTGCAAGCACAGAAAGAAGTCCAGGAAAAACTGCACCGGCCCCTTCTCTGCACAGTGCACGAGAGAGAGGTGTTGAAGTACTTTTGTGAGACTTGCGATGAACCTGTTTGTAGAGAATGCCTGATTATCGAACACCGAGAACATCACTATGGTTATTTGAAAGACGTGGATAAGAAACATCGTTCCGAGGTAAGCCTTTGGGTTTAGGGTGCATTTATATTGGATAGAATAAGAGATATTCTACTAAACAACCTTTGAAATTTCAACTACTACTTAAACTGAGAGTAACTAGAACTGGCTATTGTTTAAGGAACCTTTGGAATGTTGACTTACAGCATATTGTCACATCGAAATACTCCCAAAGCACGTTAATACACCTAGAGTAAATATGTTTTATGCATGAACGCTTTAGACAGAAAATTGGAAATTGAGGGTCCGGAAATATTTTACCAGCCGTAGTTTAAATGATGAACAGAATTCTTCAAAAGCTGACATGTTCTTGGAAGGGTCGCCAGTGATGCTAAAAACACTTTTCAATGGTAATTAATTTTCAATGGTCAATTTAATTAACTTAAAAGTAGAAATTTCAACTTATATTTACCATTTATTTAGTCTCTTAGTTTATATTTCTTCAATTTATTTCTAAAAAGGTCGCAAAGAGAGTTCGTTTTCAAGTTAACATTAACAGCTCATTTTACCGAATACTGATCTAACATTGTTTGTTTATTTAAGTTCATTGTTAGCCATCCCCCCAACCCCGATTTCCCTGAAAGTATTTCTTTTCATCTATTCATACATCCAGGTGATCTGAGTAACGCCTCCAAATAATGGTGGCTTCAGCTTTAAATATAACAATTTTGCGTAAATTTCCATCTCCGCTGGAATTCCCAATAAAGTAGGAAAGTATGGCTTTTTATTCGTAAATCATAATTGGGTTCTTCCAGCAAATTAAGATGCATGAGCACCGTAATTGCCACTGTGTTTGTAAAGAAACGTAAATTGCCTTTATCTTATAAAAGTATTACAGTCCAGCTTCCACGCTTCTAAGCTGGACTTGCCATGCCCCCTGGCCTTAGTGATCATAGCTTTACCTCTGTCAGTATTATGACATACCATGTGCTACTCAAATTAAATTCACCTTTTGCATAATTAACTGTCATAATTTTTTTTTTATCCATTAACCAAGCACGTGTAAACGAAGTTAATAAACTTAGTAAGGCCCCATTATGAACCAAAAAGCCCTGTAAGGCTCACCTTCCAGTCAAGAAATTCTTGAGTTTTTCAATCTCCCATTTTTTCTTCGGAACACATTCAGTATCATATATAGCTTCTGGTATAGACCTGGATAGTAAATCGAAAAAATAGCCACACCTGTTAGTTCAGCATCAGAGTGTAACGTTGGAGACACAAATGGTTCTTTTTTTTCCAGCTTAACCACCACTGCTTACCTAAAATGTACATGGTTACTACTTTCGTCGATACAGTCAAATCCCCAGGTTAATACGCGCGGATACTGAGTGGGTCATAAAAAGTGTACGTATTAACGGGGCCAGTCCGTATTAAGCGGGTTGAATTCAGAGAGAATGTAAGGGCTTTCTTTCCCCAGGGACAAAGCAAACTGCCCGTAATAATGAGACGTCCGTTTTAAACGGGTGTCCTTTAATTAAGCGGGGTTTGACTGTAACTCTAAATCTCTAGACTGTTCACAGTCTCCTATTTTCCCGTGAGATCGTCGAGACATAACGCGTCCTACCATTAATGGCGGCCATCTTGATTTTTAAATGTTCTGAGGAGCGGCGTCGGTGATTATAGCTCTAGTGCGAAGGGGGGCGAGAAAAATATTTTTCGCTTCCTCCCAAACCGCCCCCGGCCCCTAAGTAGTTTTGACTCTCATGCAAAATGGCACCCTGTAACGCAAAGCGCTCGATCTCGACGATCTTACGGGAAAATAGGGGACTGCGAACAGTCTACTCAGAGAAGACCAACTTAACTTGCCCTCTCGTTACAGACGGAGAACAATGTGATAACGTGTCTCTAAGCCAGTATAAACGTCCAATCATTCATTATTCATTCATTCAGTCGCTATTCCTTTATCAGTGCACTTTTGATTTATTCTTTCATTCTTACAATCATTTACCATAAATTGTTTTTCTCCTTTTTGGTTTCTGTTTACTTAGGTTGGTGTGTTGGTCATGAACACAAAGAAAAGAATCGGTCCACTTAAGGAGGCCATCGAGAAAGTCACCGAAACGAAACAAAGGCTGGATTATAAGCTGGAGGAAGTAAGACAAGAGGTATATCAGAACTGCAAGCGCTGCAGAGAAGTCATCCAAGAGAGAGAAGAAGAAATATTAACTCAAGTTAACAACTTGTACCGCATGAAGTCAAAAACACTAGAAATACAACTCGAGGAGCTTCAGCTAATGTTAGGCAATCTAAATAGCAGCATCGATTTCACGGAAAGTTTGCTTAGACACGGTAACGAAGCAGAAGTGATGATTGTAAAGAAACAGATGACACAACGCTTGCATGAACTAAACAATTTGAAATTGGAGTACTTGCCATTGGAAGATGCCCTCATCGATTACACGTTTTCCACGGACAATTTTAGAAAGGCAATCGACCACATTGGAGAGGTGAAAGTTTACCACGCCTATCCACCTTATTGCTTTGCCACTGGTGTTGGAATTCATCGCGCCAAGGCAGGCTTGGAAGCCGTGTTTCTTGTCACTGCAAAAGACAGGATGAATGAAATATACAGCGGTAAAGGGGAACCTATCAGTGTAGAGATTGAGCCACCCGAGGGAGATCCCGTCCCGAGTAGGTATTTCTTCTTGGAGTATAGGCTGAATACAGTCAGCAACATCGTTTCAAGTCTATAATGAGCCTTTTCAATCTTTGCGACATAATATAGTTTTTAAAAACAATGAAAATTAGGATCGCTAGATCACTGAAAGGTTGGCTTTCATTTGTATACCCTTAATTCTCTTGTTTAATCGCGTACGCGCTTTCCTTTGCCGATTTAAGACTCAAACTTTCTCTTTCATCTCAGTTTCTGTCATAGACAACGAAGACGGAACTCACACAGTGTCTTATCAGCCAACAGTAAGAGGAAACCATCAGATCACGATTACTATGAGAAATTGCAACATCAACGGAAGTCCTTTCAGTGTCAATGTGACTGGCAGAATGGACTTTGCCAAGGTTGGAAAGGTCATGGCGTGCTTTGGCTGCGAGGGCACTGGAGGAGGTACTTGAAGAAAACATAACTTACCTTTCAATCTAGTTGCAAAAGTAAATAAGCCGTGACTTTGTTTTGTGCCCCTCTAATCTGTGACTCGCTCAACCAATCAGTAAGGAATCAAGTTTTCTGTTCTTTTTTTTTTCCCAAGCCACCTGCATGAATTAGCTTTGAAGAGATGTTTTGGTTCATTTGATTGCCTGCATCTGTTGCGATTGGCCAGACAGAATAATTACTGTATTGAATTTTGCTTTTTAACAATTAAATGTTTTAAAAACTTAAATTACGAAGGAGGGAGGGCTATGTTGATTTTCTTTAGTTATTATTAAGGACTTTAAATGGTTTTCATATCTGATTATCTTTCTTTCTAGGTGAATTTAACATGCCTTGGGACGTAGCTATTGACGAAGAAAATCATCATCTTATTATAACAGACTGCAACAACCATCGAGTACAGGTTTTTGACTTCGAAGGAACATTTATGTTCAAGTTTGGTGCAGAGGGGGCGGAAAAAGGCCAGTTTAGAAACCCCAAAGGAGTAGCTAAAGCCTCTAATGGGCACATAATGGTTGCTGACTTCAACAATCACCGAGTACAAGTATTCAACGAGGACGGTCGCTTTATCAGGAAGTTTGGTAGCTTCGGAGTTGAACGACCAGGCCTCATGAATCATCCGTGCGGTGTGGAATGCATCGGAGAACTGGTGATAGTTTCGGAGCAAGACAATCACCGGGTTCAACTGTTTAACATGAATGGGGAGCCGGTTCGACAATTTGGATCCCAGGGCTTTTCTAAGGGACAATTCATATACCCACATCACGTAAGCGTGAATCAGAGGGGAAGAATCATTGTGGCAGACTGTGTCAATGATCGTATTCAAGTATTTGATATGGAAGGAAAATGTCTGTCAGACTTTGGAAAGGAAGGTAGGGCTTAATTAACAACAATAAATATGGTGATGATAATGATGATGATGATAACCTTAATGATGATGATTGGTAATTCCGTATTAAAAAAGAGTCAACCACCCATATAAAGGAGCTTCCTTACCCGTGATATTACCAAAAGCTACTGGACTAGTGAACGTGGTTTTTGCGAGTGTTGCAGTCCTCTGACAATTATGAAACAATCGCGAGAGTGAAAGTATTGATGATTGGCTTAAATTTTTCTCTTATACGTACACAATGAATTTTTCTCTCATTTCAGTTTAAGGTGATCCCTTCTTCAAAAGGTCCCTTGTCGCCCCTTGTAAGGTAATCCAAGACAGGCTTGGATTCTGGATTCCACGCCGTAGATTCCGGATTCCAGCTACTGGATTCCAGTCTTTTTCTGTGGAACTAGGATTCTGGATTCCAACCTTTAGTAGGATTCCGGATTCCTTGCGTTGTATTCCGGATTCCAAAGCCCACGATTCCAGATCGCACAAGCAAAAATTTCCCCGAGTCCGGAATCCGGATTGCCATACATCGGGCAACCATTGTCTTTTGAGTCGACTGTCTAGTCAGGCAAACTCATCCTCCTTAATTTGCTAAATAAATCTTACATATTGTTGAAACAAAGCTTTGTAAACACGCCAATTTATTAAAAAGAAGAACACGTATCGAAATATTTGTAAGTCGTAATATCCGTAGTCGTAACTGTTAATATTGTTTTTCGTTTTGAATATACATATACAATTAAACCAAGCGTTTCTACTAGGCAAAATCATTTATTTTAACTTTTGAATCAAGTGGAGATTATAGGTTAGAACTTAAAAATAACAAAAAGTAAAAAAGAAGCAATTTTGCACGTAAATGCACTGATTATGCAGGTTTTATATGCGTGTTGGCAAGTTAATGAATGTCGCGTGCAAAGTTTTATGTCAAAAGAAAAGCGAAGGCAGTGCTGCGGTGTAGATTGAGTAAAATGATCGACTGTTACTTAGTTGTTCAGCTTACTGTAGAGTCGAAATGTTATTTCTCAAAAACACACGTTACGCATTTTGAAGCAAATTTTGAGCTTACCTTTCTATGACTTGTGATGTTGTGACATTTCGCCGACTGCATAAAAGGCAACGACCTGACGACAGGTCTTCACACCAAACTAGTACGCAAGCCTGGCGATAATACTGCTTTCTTCCAGGACTGTAGGGTTCTTCTTTTTTGTCGTTCGGTCTCGTAACAATTAAAACGGATGCTCATCTGAGTGCAGGAAGCCATTTAAACGCTGTGAATGAATTCCCCTGGTAATCTTCAAACTCGCACAAGGCTAGTAGCCTAATTTTTCCAAGTACACAAATATTCACTTGCTGTAAGCCTAAGTCACCGTCATTTATCTTTACGAGGTCCCTTTTAGGTATTATTCGAGTATTCTATCCTTATCTTCATCGTACAAACGTACTCCAAGGCAAAGCTGCGAGCAAATCTTGTTCAAATTTTCGCCAAGAACCAGCCAAGTTTCCCGCCAAAACGAGCATGGTGCAACATGGCCTTGCACGTGATCACATAATGTTCGGCCAATCAGCAGCGATAAGTTGAATTTTAGTCCCGTTTCTTGACATCCGAGCAATCAAAGCTTTTTATTTTACCTCGACTGCAAAAATAAATCAGGAAAATTATTCAAAAGAAAAATACCCTCTCTTTCTATCTTCTTTTAAGACAGAACATATTTATTTTTTGAAGGATCCCAGAACGGATTATTCGATGGCCCTGAGGGAGTAGCCTGTGACGACGAGGACAACATCTTGGTCTGTGATTATCACAATCACAGGATACAAGTGTTCAATTCTAATGGCGAGTTTGTGAACACCTTTGGCGCCTTTGGTGAAGATGAAGGCTGTTTCAAGAACCCCTGTGGCATAGCAGTAACTAAGGAGGGAAATATTGTTGTAGTGGATAGTGGAAATAACCGGATCCAAGTCTTTTAAGTACTCTTTTTATAAATAGCACTTTTTCGGAACTTTTACAATACATTAGTCGTCCAAACAAGTTATCTTAAATGCCTTTATCTGATTATTTCATTTTATACTTTTACTCAATCAGCTCAATCAAGTCTATAACAAGTTTGCCTATCCGATACTTATTTAAAAGTCACCAACGTTTTTATCAAGACCACGTTATAATTGAATTGTAAATAATTTATGGAGTGAAAGCCAAGTTTTAGGTCAAGATGACTGTGAGCTATAGATGTAATCTAAGGTGCTGGTTTTCTTTCCTTCGAGGGCTATAGTTTCTGTCTTCAGGCTCTATCGTCGAAAACGTTTAAAAGTATTTTTTTTTGGAAGGACATAATTTCAGAACTTGAATTTAACAAGCGGAAACACGAAGAGGAGGAAAACCCCGCCGCTGTAAGGGCAACGAAACTCTACCTTTTAAGCTAGGCTGATAGCCAATCCCTACGCAAGTATCACCTCGATCATGTCCAGCTCCATTCATTTATCAACACTGATTATTTCCTGGCTGCAATCGTTTCATATACAGTCATTCTCATATTTATGTTATTTAAGCGCGAGTGGAGGTATATTGATACATTTTCATATTAAATTTCATTTTTTAAAGAAGAAGAACAAGAGGAAGAAAAAAGGATAAAGAAAGAAAAAGTGAATTAATGGCCGCTTTTTCACGGGATTGCTCGTAGCAATGGCTCGTATGCAGTTGCTTGCAGGAAAGCTCGCAGTAAAAAACCACGCGCTAGTGGCATGCGTGAAAGAAGGGTCTCGTGTAGCTCACGTTACTCGCCACCATAAAAAATAGAGAGCTTGCTCGCAGACTGGTATACCGTGGTCAATAAAGTAGACTGTAAAATAGTGTACATAAAACGCAAATTCTAATTCACAAATTTGTCGTCGGTGCATACTTTTGAGCGTCAAACCGTTATATACAATTCACTTTGTTTTAGTTCTGAAAATAACACAAAATTATACACGTGTCGTGCCACGTGAAGTTAAAAGGGTAAATCAGTTTATCAAATGAAAGTACATGTAAATGTAATTGCAAATACATTAATTAAACTTTTTAATAAACCATTAATCTATAATTCAGGCTTTGCTCCAACTGTCAATCTACTTCCTTTTGTTATTACTCAGTGTTTTTTAACGAAGATAGGAAAAAGTGTCCGTATTAAGGGGGCTCTCAGAAAAAAAATGCCACGGAACATATCTAACTGTTTAGACTAAAACACAATGATATGTTTACGGAAAAACGTCGCTTCATTTCTTCTCTGTAACTGGAACAAGTTTATTCTGGAGAAAACTCGCGATCATCTATCAGTCTCAGACTAAATTTTTTTACTTAAAACACGACAATGGAATCCGTGACCTTAGTTTACTTTGCCATAACGCCTTTATTGCGACTCAGCCAGATGGGCTAAATGTTATGTGGCAACTTTCAGTCTTTCTTTTAGGTTTTCGCCGGTAATATATTCAGTCATAAATAGTGCGCAGATAACCAGTGTTAAGCGGGTTAATTTCAGAGAAAAGATATGAGCATTTCTTCGGGACAAATGAAACTGTCCATTGTACACGGGTGTCGGTATAACGTGGGTGTCAGTGGAGCGGGTTTCCACCGTATATACGACTACATGCTGCAGGAAGGTGCAAGAGTTGAAGACCAATCAACAAGCATCCATAATTTCAGTCTGTTATTAATAAATAAACGACAACTTTATTTTTTTTTTCTCAATTATTATTTACAGCAATGATACAGCACCCTTTTTTTTGCTTCGTGATAAAAGAAAAACGAAAAACCCTTGGACAGTGGGAAATGTTGAAAGCATTGAGAGAAAAACGCAGATCTTTAAGATGTAATACCCACCCTTATTAATAACACTCTCACGTTCAATATATGTCCGTTATATAGACGAAATCCTAGTTATATTTCTTTCGATTCGTATTTTCAGTTTTTGTGCTCTTTTTTGGTACTATTTCCTAATCTTATGTTTTTTTTGGCGTACGGATTGTTAATTACAGAAAATCAATAATTAATAAAATATATCAAGTGAAAGTATCAAGATTTTTCAATATTGATTTTCCGCCGCCTCCAACACTCCTCCCACCTCCACCCCCCCCCCGCCCCCAACACCACCCATCCTTACCACAACTTCCTGTCCACCAGCCAGAAAAAATATATATTCGGGTAGATTTAAAAAAAAAAAAAAAAGGTACTGATGTTCACTCTCCACATCGTAAGATGTACAGGTAAAAAGACAACGATAACGCGCGTTTCTACTAGCCTTTATGTTCAGTCAAACTGTGACAGGCTTTTCGCTGCCGTAGAACTGGTATTCGGTGTTGTACATCCGGGGTACTCGGAATGTCTCTCCTGGACCGGGACCTACACAAAGAGAGCAAAAAAGGGGAACAAAATTTCAATTACTTATCAAGTACAGAAACACGTGTCCTTTATATTGATTTTCAACATGTTAGCCTGCGTGACATACAGGTGCGAGGTAGGAATATGCGAGAAAGAGCAGGGCGCGCGATGGCGCGATGGAGACACGCGTGTCTCCCTTGCGCGCTCCGTTCTTTCTTGTACCCATTACTCTCAAGCGCCAGCGCCCCGTTCATTCTTGCGCCCATATTAAGTGCATGCTTCACAGGCTAAAAGCAGGTTTTCAGAGTTCATGCTTTATAATTCTCGTTACCCGTTGCTGTTAACATACCTACAAGGTTTAGATTTGTTTGGTTCATCGAAAAGTGAGAGCAAGACTGTTCATAGCCTCCCACGAAGGCGTTTTTAGGGGAGCTCGAAAAAACGTCCGCGTGGGAGGCTAGACTAGCGTCATTTTTTACGATTAAAGTTAAACCGCTTTTGTGAAAAAATACTAATATTATATTAAGAACAAAGGAGAAATGAAAGAAGGCTTTAACAAGAATGTTAGTTTTACAACCAGATTGATGGATCTTATAACCAGGAGGGCTCAAATCGGGATTTAAAGGTGGGCGAACACGGCGGCGCATCTTGAAGTCGAGACTATGTTTATTTAGATACACAACTCAGTATAACTCGTTTACGTTTTTCTGAGAGAGTGAGAAAAGCGTGAAGAAAATTACTATGCTAAGTGGGCAAAGGGAGCTTTTCACGCAAATGCGTGCGCGTGGAGATCGCCTCCCGCGAGGAGACTCACCGGACGCGCGTGTGTCTCCTTTCGTTCGCGCATTGAAATTTTATGCCAAATAGGCCGCAGTTCATAATGAAAGGCTCTTACTTTCAAGAGGAGCATGCCATGGTTTCGGTACCTTCAAGCTAAACAATTCCCATCGTTTTCTTTCGGGTGGCATCGTGTAAGACTCGGTCATCAGCGTTTTCATTCCCCTAAAACGAAAACAATGTGTGTTAGGGCTGGCATTTGTGATCAAACTAAGAATTTAGCAGTGATTAAAGCTCTCCCTTGCATTTTCTTCAAGAGAAAAGAGGGGAAGAGTTTGTTCTTTTGTCCACTTATGATAGCTAATAAGTAAGGTCCAACTCGACCCACACTTTCTACTTCTAGCTACTTAGGCATACTCTTTAACGCTTTCGCATTGAAAACAGATAAATAAGAACAAAAAGAGAAAAAAGAAATATATTACGAACAACTAAAAATTAAAGATAAGGTAATTACAAAAGCTTGAATAACGTTCTGCTTTAATCGTAGAAGGGATTAGGCTCCAATCCTTTATAGTTCTCGGAAAGAAGCTAAAGAGAATATTAATACGTTGATTGGATATGTTAAACGCAGTGTCTTCTGGCTGAGCTGGCAGTAAAGAGGTCACTGGAAGAGCAACTATATAGTTGTCTCCGTCCTTCATTTTTCGTTCTTTCTTATCGATCCACTTCCGTCACCCATTTTGGTTTCTTTTAGTTCTAGGTAACAGGGAAATTTTCATGCAATCTCCAGTTTTCGTTTCTAAATGTGCGGTTACAGAGGCCCCTCTTACACAAGTGACAAAACTTACACCTGACTTTCCCATCAAAATCTCTTCGAAAACGCTTCCCAGTGGATAAATACACAAAAAACAAACGCTGACTTTACGTTTTGGCGTAAGTCAAATGAGAATATAAAACCTTAGGATTTGTTGTAATACCAAAGAACACCCCTCATCAAATTGGTGCAAACATACCATTATTACACAACTTACAATGTGCACACTTACTTATTCGGTACAGGACTGAGTGACTTAGGTAACCTAGGAATGGTAGTGGGTTCTCTAAACCAGATACGGTCCCTCATGGGTCCTTTTTCTCGAGGAACAGAATTTGGGGGTAGTGGGTTCTCCTTGGAGCCATGGCCCCACGCTTTTGTGTACTCTTCGCACTCCCAGTAAGTCGCATAATCCTTTGAAGGATAACGTCCTAACTCGTGCCTGATTAAAAAAGGAAACAAACAGTTGAGAGTCTAATAAGAGAGAGTTGCGCCTTCATTAAGCGGCCACCCTCGAGGTACCAGCAAGTGGTTGCTTTTTGTAGAAAATTTTTTAACGTCATTACTTCTAATTTTATTTCATTTTATTTAGTTAAGCGTCTTGCGTGATGGCAAACCCGTAGCAAGACTACAAAATTTTTTGAGTAAAGGTATATATGGAGGTTGACCGCTCCATGGAGGTTCGTGAGACTGAAATTAGCATCATAATCGTTAGCAAAAACATCAATTTATTTTCATTAATGAAACAAACACGCGACAGGAGCAGCATTACTGGTCCAAAATCAGTCTTCACCTACTATCATGGACTGTATTTTCCTTGATCATGTTATTAAAGTAAAGCTAAACTATGTGTATCAATCGTTTGATGGCCGCTTAATAGAGGTGAAAACAATAGAAAAACTCTCGTTGGGACGGCCAAAAGGTGTGGCCGCGGCCCGAGGCCGCTTCAGGGCAGAGGTGACCGCTTAATAGAGTTACCGCTTCTTTCTTTGAATACGGAGCTTAAGCAACAACGATGGCGACGGCTACGAAAACGTCACTTAAAAAGTGAATTCGCGCTACTTCAAACTTGATCGCGCTTATTCCAACTCGTTCAAGTCGTCAAATGTAGGCAAATTTTTCTGGAGTTGAATTCTAAATGACTGTATCAAAGTTCAGGAAAAGAAAAAGAAAGCCGTCGAAACGTGATTAGAGTGGTTTTCGTTTGAGTGTCGTAAAACCAAAACCAAAATAATTACTCTGGCCAATCACATAGGACACAGACAATACATTGAACCAATCAAAACTCGGAGTAATTACATGTGGCTGACGCAAAGCGCGGGAAAATGCATGCGAGCGCGTCACAATTGGCTTTGGTTTTACTTCTGATTGGATGAAAAGGTGGCGCGAATCTTTTAAGCCAATCGCATCGTGTAGAAAGTGCAAAACCAATTACTTTTCGACACTCAAATGAAAACCGCTCTAATTAATTAGGCAGCTTCACGTAGTAGTCGTACAGTGACGGCAAAGAAATGTGCAAAGTTGCTATTTTGTTAATCTAAACCAGTTGCTCTTTACCGTTCTCGTTGCCATCGCCGTTATTTAAGCTCCCTAATTATCGGGACGTTGATTAATGGCCGCTTAATAGGTGGCCGCTTCAATAATGGAGGTTCAACCGTCAGTACTTTGTAAATATTTCAGCAGGAGAGAAATTCATGGCCTTCTTGAGATAGTTGGTTAATTAGCATACAATAATTGTGCTCAGCTGAGAAAAAGCAAACACAGATCTTACCCATCTTGCGCCAATGGCATATTTCCCTTTCAAATGTTTTAGAGTAATTATGCCCCCCCCCCCAAACTCCACTCTACCCCAGCTGCTAAAGAATGTCACATGTCAAATTTTAAGGTTGTATCACAGTCCAGTCTATTTTCCATCACAAATGGAAATTCCAAGGGTGGCATAAGCAAAGATGTACTACATGCAGTGGCAGATCCAGACATTCAGATAGGGGTGTAAGGGGGGAGGGGGGGGGTCAACCAGACCCTGAGATAAGGGGACTGCCCGGTCTCAAAAAAAAAATTTTGGCCCCTCCCCTATATCCGCCACTGACATAGCAGCTGTTTGAATCAAAGTAGTCTGCATGGCCATTGCAATTGTTAGCATATGCAAAATTTGGGCAGAGGAGCTATGAAGTGGTGACTGCGCATTGGGTGGAACTTTGGAATTTTCTCACCTCAACTAGAACAGTCACGAAAATGGTGGCCTCATCTTCAAAACTCTAACACAGGCAAAAACAATTCCCCCACCTACCCAGGCTAGAATTGTTTTTGGATATTTTATAATGGGCGACACAACATGACAAGACAGCAAGGTTGAGCGGGTAGCTGTTATTTCTTTGTAAACCTGATATTACTTTACGTTACCAGTACCACATGGCACAAAAAGTTTAACTTTGTGATTTTTAAAGAAGAATAAATTGCTTCATGTCTGTGTTGAGTGAATTTTTATTAAATTACTGCATGCTGCGGTTCAGTCTAATTGGGTCAGCTTTTATATGTATAACTTTATGTAATTTATTTATTGAAATTATGGCTGTAAATATACACATGCCAGGAAGTTAAATATTTAAATTACTCCTATACAGCTGTGCATATTCACAGCAATTTCAAAACAAAGTGGTCTAAAAAAGTACATGGATGTATATGTGGAAAATCAAAAAATGATACTAATCCAACTTAGGCAAAGGGCTTTGATATACTTACACAATGATGTAATTTTGTAAGACAAGATATAGCTTCATATGAGACTTAAGCTGTTATTTCTTTGAAATCCTGATATTACTAATTTACGTTGCCAGTAATTTTTTACCAAAAAATTGCTTCATCACTGTGTTGTGAGAAGTTTTATGAAATTTAATACTGCCTAGAGGTCTGCCTACTGCAGTTCAGTCTAACTGGCTCAGATTTTTAAGGTAATGTTATGTAATCATTGAAATAGCTGTAGGATATGCACAAGCTTTAAATGTAATTAAATTACAACATAAAGCTGTGCATATTCACTGCAATTTCATAACAATGGTTCAAAAGTCTACGTTATTACTAGTTGTCAATGAAAGAAAAAGAGTTTGCCTACATCACCAGTTTTAGTTCCAATGTTTATAAAACCATTTCAGCTACTGAGGTGAGAATTTCCACTACAAGCACTCCTCATTCCTACATTTCTGCCATACTCTTGGCCTTAAAACTGCTCTTATTCTTCTGCTTAGACATTTTTGAACCTTAAACTTGTCGAGTTTTAAACAGCGAAAGGGAAATAACATAAATAGGCTAGCACGAACTTGAAATAGCGAGTTGAAGTTCGTACAAGTACAGTAGTGTGGCAGAGAACTATGTCCAAACTTTGAAGGTTTGTTTACAACAAAGGTCATCAAAAGCCATGTGAAACTACACGTGAAATCTAACGCTACTAAAATCCCCAGGGGATCTACACCTAATACATTACACTTTTCACAGCACGATAGAGAATTTTTCTGCCTGCTGCAATACTTTGCATGGCATTAAGCTGGCTGCCTCGCAAGCCAACTGTCTTCGCTCGGCTTGCTCATTGGCAATTTCTGCAAGTGTTGAAAATTAAATACTGATACTTCCCACTAAGGAAGGCTTCTGATTGATGGTGCAATTTCACACTTATTTGAGGAAATCACATAATTCTTAAAATAATTCAATTCAAGTGTTAGTTAAACAAGCAATGATTTTTGCCTTTAATTAAACATTTTCCCATTACAAGGTTAATGCTATTTCAGGGTGATTTCCCACTCAACAAGCCTCATGGAATCAGATACAGTACTGTAACTTACTTGGTGAATGCTCGGTGGTCCTTTTGTGTTGTGGTCAAATAAGGGTCCATGTGGCAGGTCAACACCCCTTTATCCCTGGGATAAAACTTTTGACCAGCAATACCTCTGTTGATTGTTGATGGTACAAGGTCCTGTAATTAATATATGGAAATGTCACCGGAAGAAAACATTTCTAGTATGGTAACCACACTTGGAGAGGAGAGGGGAATTAGTGCATACCGAAAATCCTCTATTAAGCACCCCCTCTCAAATAAGCCCTCTCCCTTTAATAAGTCCCTCCCCCCTTTTCAGGGGAAGAAAGTTAATACCACCCTGGCCCTTGCATAATTAAGCCCCCCTTCCCTCTTCTAAATATTCTTCACTAATAAATGATAGACTGTATTAGTCAATCACGACTGTAAAACTTTGTGTGGACTGATCCGGGAGCGATGGTTTATTCACCAACTGGAAGTTCGGATTTGACTCTGATCCTTGGGCTGCATGACCTCCAGCCTTCTTGTCCTTGAGCTTTTCCATTTTGTATCCTACTTCTTTATGGAGAACAAATACCATTGTCTTTTCTAAATTAAAT